TCTTTCATCTCAAAATTCTTAGTGAGAAATTTCTTGGTTTCGTGCAGTAAGCCTATATCGTTACTCGCCAGCAGTATGTCATCGACATATAGTACCAGGAAGATAAACCTGTTCCCACTAAACTTGTGGTATACACATTCATCAACCACATTTACCTCAAAATCATATGAGGTAATCGCTTGATGAAATTTGTAATACCATCGACGAGAAGCCTGTTTGAGACCATAGATGGATTTTTTTAATTTGCAGACCATAGACTTTGAATATTTGGATTCAAAGTTTTCTGGTTGAACCATATAAATCGTTTCATCAATGTCTCCATTGAGAAACGTTGTCTTTACATCCATGTGATGTAGCTCTAAATCAAAATGAGCTACAAGTGCCATTATTGTCCTAAAGGAGTCCTTCGAAGAAACCAGAGAAAATGTCTCTTTATAATCAATGCCTTCCCTTTGAGTGAAACATTTGGCGACTAAACGAGCCTTATATCTTTCGACATTGCCTTTTGAATCCCTTTTGGTTTTAAATATCTATTTGCAACCAATGGGTTTCGAGCCTTCAGGCAACTCGACAAGATCCCAAACGTCATTTTCTTTCATGGATTTCATCTCTTCTTGCATGGCATTGATCCAATGTTGAGAATTAGAACTTTGAAGGTTTTACGAAGGATGATTGGATCATCTTCCGCTAAGCCTACCGAATCTTCTTGTTCTAGGAGGAACACGATATAGTCATCTGGAATCGCACTTCTTCTTTGTCTGTTGGATCTCTTCAATGGCACTTCTTGAGGTTGTTGGGTTTGCTCTATGGAAAGAACTTCATTGTTGTCTTGAACCGGAATCGCTTCATGAACAGTGCTAGGAATTATTGTCTGATCACCGTCGATAATAATGTCAGAAAGAGAAATGAATTTCTCTTCTTGCAAGACAACTGTTTCATCAAAAGAGATGTTCCTTAATTCTTTCCCTCAAAACTCAACATCTTCAAGAAATCTCGCATTTCCCGTCTCAAAGAAGGAGCGGGTAGTGGGATCATAGAACTTGAACCCTCGAGAACGTTCCGTGTATCCAACAAAGTAACAGTTAACTGTCCTAGAGTTCAATTTCCTTTCGTTGGGCCTATAAGGCCTCGCTTCAGCTGGACATCTCCAAATGTGTAAGTGCTTTAGGCTGAGCTTTTTCCCAGCCCACAACTCAAATGGGGCTTTAGTTACTGCTTTGCTGGGTACTCTGTTAAGGATATACATTGCAGTTTTTAATGCTTCTCCCCAAAGTGATTCAGGTAAAGAAGAATGACTAATCATGCTCCTTACCATGTTCTTAAGTGTCTTGTTTCGTCTTTCAGTAACACCATTCATGCTGGGTGTACCCGGCATGGTGTACTATGGGACGATACCACATTCCTTTAGGAAGTTAACAAAGGGTCCTGGACGTTGCTCTCCTGATTCATCATATCTGCCATAATATTCCCCACCACGGTCAGATTTGACGGTTTTAATTTTCTTACCAAGTTAAAATTCAACTTCAGCTTTATAAGATTTGAAAACGTCCAGGAATTGAGACTTCTCACTTATTAAGTATAGGTACCCATACCGTGAATAGTCATCTATGAGCGTAATGAAGTACTGCTGGCCATTCCATGCAGGCGTAGGGAATGGCCCACAAATGTTCGTATATATCAATTCTAAGATTTCCGTACATCTATTGGCACCTAATTTCTTTGTGTTCGTCAATTTTCCCTTAATACACTTAATACAGACTTAGAAGTCCGTTAAATCAAGAGAATCAAGAATTCCATCCGACACAAACCTCTAAATTCTCTGTTTAGAGATGTGGCCCAAGCGCTTATGCCATAAGGAAGTAGAATTCTCGGTTAATTTACGCTTTACACCTTTAGTACTTGCATGTAGGATTGCATTGTGGGAAGCAATAGTTTCTAACATATAAAGACGATCAATTAAAATACCGGTACCAATAACATTTGAATTTAGAGAAATACTAACTTTATTATTTCCAAAACTACAAAAATAATCAGATTTGTCTAAATAGGAAATAGAAATTAAGTTTCGTTTAAATGACGGAGCTATAAACGTCTCAACTAAATTCAAATAACAACCGGTTTTTAAAATCAATCTAAAATGTCCTACAGCTTCCACAGGAACTTTATTGCCATCGCCTACATAGATGAATCTTTCAGCATCAGTTGGCGGTCGGCTCCAGATGCAACCCTACATAGACACACTTATGTGAGTAGTAGCGACAGAATCTATCCACCAAATGTCTATAGGTACAGAAGCTAAATTAGCCTCAGAACAAACTAAAGTGAGAGGCATACCCCTCTTTATGCGCTAGGCGGCGTATTTGGAACACTCTTTCTTCATGTGTCATCCTTTCTTGCAGAAAAAACAGGTAAATTCCTCACCTTGCTTCTTCGCCTTTTTCTGCGTGGATGTTCCTTTTGCAGTATCCTTAGTCCTYTTCTTTTTATTATTCTGAGAGGTTGATGCTAAGTGAGCACTTTCCGTCTTTTCTCTCTAGATTCTTTCTTCTTCTTGCACACATTGAGAAATGAGTTCATTAAGAGTCCATTTCTCCTTTTGAGTATTATAACTCACCTTAAATTGACTGAATTGTGCAGGAAGATAAATGAGAACTAAATGTACGAGCAAATAATCATTTATCTCTAACTTTAGTGCCTTTAGTTTACTCGCAAGATTCGACATTTCCAGTATGTACCACCTTATATTTCCTTTTCCCTTGTATCTCATAGAAATTAAAGTAGCTAAAAGGTTGTTAGTCTCTGCTTTTTCATTCTTGGCGAAATACTGTTGTATCGCCACAAGGGATTCCTTAGCATTATTGCTCTCAAAAATAGAGCCCCGAAACGCTTTCGGTATGGAACGTTTCACAATCATCAGACTCATGCGATTAGAGCGATCCCACTTCTCAACTTTGGCCTCATTGGAATTGTCCTCAGCCGGGATGGGTCGCTCCGTTCTTAATGCAAGGTCTAAATCCATGCAGCTGAGAACGATTTCTACATTCTCTTTCTAGATCTTAAATTTTGTACCATTCAACATGTGAATGGCACTGATTTGAGCAGAAACATTATTTGTAGTTGCTGAAACTGAACAGAGAACAAAAACAACATATAATCAATAATATAAATTACAAAGGCAAGATACCCAGCACAACTTGATATTTAGTGTTTGCACAGAAACATCAATTGTAAATGGTACTCTCAACGCAACAAYYAAACATTGATAAWAAATCMTRTCAAACAATAGCCTTTCTTTGGACCGACTACTATTCACATGGATAATAGCTTTACAATATCAATATTCATCATCGCATGTGTGTTCATTGTCCGACCAAACATCAACCTTCTTTTGGGCCGACCAATGTCCGCATGGACAATGAACACACAAAATCTTTATATTTCAAATCATTGCATGTGTGTTCACTGCCCGACCAAACACCTTCCTTTGGGTCGACCAATGTCCGCAAGGACAATGAACACACAAAATCTTTATATTTCAAATCAAATTAATTTTACACTGCATAGGCTACTTTGGTAACATGCTGCTTCAATCAATTTAATTTAAAACGAAGAGAAAAGTATTCATCCAAAACTATATTCATCGCATGCATGACAAAGTCAAAAAGGTTCAAGGTTACTTCCATGCAAAAGGAGAGAAAAACGGACGCATGCAAATTGCTTACGTGCATGCAAATCACGATTCCAATTTTTTTTTTGAGTCGATTATGTAGACGCATTGAATCACTGATGCGAATTCATTCTTGGGTTCCAGAGGTGCATCGCAACACTGATGCATCATTTTTTTTTTCTTTTTTGGGTTCCAAAGACACAATACCGATTCTAGAGACGCATCACAACCAAAGACACAACACCGATGCGTCTTCTGTTTTTTTTTTTGCTTCCAGAGACGCATCGCAACAACATTGAATCATCATCACAATGCGTCTTTGTTTTTTTTTTTGTCGACTAAAACCGAAACCGCATTGAATCATCAATGCGTCTTTGTTTTTTTTATTTTTTTTAATATCATGCTGCAGTTATCAAGGAGGTTTAAACGTAAATACCTGTATCCATCGCAGTAGTTGAAACCCTTGCGGAATGAGTGATAAATCAATGGTAGGTCGACTGTGGTTTTCCTCAGTTAAATCTTCCTTCTTCCTTAGGTTTTCTCAGCTCTTTGACTCTAATGGGGTAGAGCAAGAGGGCGGCTAGATGATTTAACATATTGGGAACCATAACATAGGAGCCTTTATATTTTGACCTAATAGGATCCCATTAAGCTATGGGCCAAAATGTGGTATCCACTCGTTAAGCCCCATACCCTTTTGTTGAAGTCTACAGGCTTTGCCTAAATGAATCACTTGATTTAACCCACTTACAAGATAGCCCATCAATGCAATTGTTTCACTGAATATGTAAGTCTACTTAACAGAGATTAAAACCTAACATGCAACTTATTGGGTGTGTTGAGCTATGTTAACTTTTGAAAGGGCCCAAGCAAGATGCAATATATATATATGATTTGGTAAAAGGTGGCCGATGTGTGGAATGTAATTAGACGTGTTTTACATGGCTCATAATAACTAAACTGTCTCAACTTAAGGAGAAAAGCAAAAGAACAAATTTGCTATTTTTCATAAAAAAGAACTTTTCTCCTTTTTCATATATGTCATACGTCAAGTTTATCAAATGCCACTTAAGCTCCATGTGATTGGAAACTAGATGAATTATTCAAATGATTCGCTTTTGTCCTTATTTTTGTTCTTGTTCTTATTCATTTCATTCAACATAAACACTACTTGGTCTTGTTGGAATTATACTAGGAGTCAGGCCCGGTTTGACCACCGGTCCAGATAATTTTGAAACGATGGAGATCTCTGGCCAATAATTAAATCCCACGTAAATTCCAACAAGATCAGGGTCAATTGCTAATGGCAATGGTTCACTACGGAAAAACCTCCTTTCAAAGAAGAAGATCAAAAACTACACGAGAGAAAAAGGAGGAGAAAAAAACCTCCAACCCCTCGTGACATTTCTCCTTTTCCTTGTAAAGCAAGCGAAGGGACGAAGAGAGAACAACAACGATCCGCAGGAAATCGAACCAACCACATCTTCAATCACCGGCGCCGTTAACCATTTCGTCCTTTCGGCATCCCATCAATCGGAGAAAGTTTGCATTCCCTGCCGTCCGTTTTCATGAATCCTAGCCTGAAATGTCGCCGACGTTGGTAGATTTCAGAAATCCGGCGACCACCCCGCAAATGCAATCAAGGAGCTCGTCTCTTCAAAGCTCTAACCCCAAAGGTCAGATCTCTTCTTCTCCTTCTTCATTCGATATCGGTAGTTTTGCTTCAAAGAATCTCGCGGAGCAACGAGGGAAGTCGTGGCAGACCGATTCTGAGATGATGAATTCATCGAATCTCGGTCGTGGTGCTTCTACTTCTAGAAATGCCAATGAGGGTGGTGTTGATATCAATTTTACTTCGCCGTCTGCGTCGCGGGTTGGTTCTGAGAAGCCCTCCTTGGCACCACAGTCGGGGCTGTCGAAGCCCCGGTTAGTGAAGGTACGAAAAAACTTGAGTTCTCACCTCGGAAGGTCAACACCACTCTCGGGGACTCGAGTTGATCAGGGTTTTAATCTGTTTCGTCCAGCTTCCGAGAGTTCGGATCGCATTGACGATGATTGTAGAATGAAGGAGTTGCGTGATCAGTGGCAAAGCTGGAATCCATTCTCACCTGACTCTGCGTACAATAGTAGAGGATCAAGTACTTCAGGTGCTTCAAGTTCCACCATTAATCAGAAGTTTGGTCAGTCAGGTGAAACGACTTTTGTATTTGGAGCAAATCACAGCAATCTGGTATCGAGTTCAAATGTAGGTAACAGCGACCCTGGTGATATGGTGGGCAAATCGCTTCCAGATGACACGAGGAGGTTGGACATTGGAATCGAATCAGAGAATCGGAAGGAAAAAGATGCTCCGTTTGTTTCTGGTGCCAGTGGAAGAGAAAGTTTCAATTTGGGTAAGGATTCAAGTGGCGGTGTTTTTGTATTTGGAAGTGGCAATCAGAAAAGCTCTGATTTTGATGGAAGTGCAGCATCGAAGCTCCCAGATGAGATGAAAAAATTGAACATTGAAAACTCTGGGAGTGGTGAAGGTGTTCAGAAGGCTGAGGATGTTAATCTTAACTCCAAGGCTAATGATAGAATACCGACATTTGTCTTTGGAAGTAGTAGTAATACAACTGGTGGTTTTCAAAGAAGTGTGGAATCTAAGCTTCCAGATGAGATGAAGAAATTGAACATAGAAGATCCTGGTAATGTTGATGGTACTAATAAGTCTAATGATGCTAAATTTGACCCTAAAACCAATCATAAGAATGTTTTTGTCTTTGGAAGTAGTAAGGACAATGCCAGTTCATTTGGTAAAAATTCAGCCACTTCGCTACCTGATGAGATGAAGAAGAAGTTGAACATAGAAGGCTCTGGCATGGGTGATGGTGCTGAGAAGACTAAAGTAGATAATCTTAAACCCAATGATAAGACTCCTTTTGTCTTTGGAAGAAGTAAAAGTACTTCTGGTCCTTCTGGTCTGAGTGCTGAAAATACTCTGCCTGATGAGATGAGGAAACTGAACATTGGAAGTGGAAAAGATTATGTTGGTGGGATAGATACAGGTTCTTCTTCTTCTAGACTATTTGTTAAGGAGACAAAATCTGATCCTTCTCTTGGTAACTCTGTTCCCACACCATTCACTTTTCAGGCAGGATTACATGATCAAAATTCAGGCTTGGACCAAGTTCCTGTGGTTAAATCAAATAATGATAATGATACCAAAGTGGATGGTGGTGTTGCATCATCAGCTTCATTCTCATTTACTGCCACTGGTGTCCAATCTGTAGGAAATATTTATGAAATGCCTCCTGAAGACACAGATGGTAAGAAAGCTGGCTTTGTGTTTACAAGCACAGGGAATCGACCTGGGACACCTAATGTGGACCTCAAAACACCAAAACAGGATGCTTCTTTTTCCTCTACAGGAAGCCTATTTGCTGGGTTAAACCAAAAGTTGGAATTTAGTGCAAAGAGGGACACGGTCAAGGACACAAAGTTAAAGAAAAAGAAGGGAAAGTTGAGGCAGTCTGCCTCAGAGCACCGTTGGGCTGGGAAAGATCAGTTTTCAAGGGGAAAAAGTTCCCAAGAAAACCCAGAGTCTCCTGGAAGCTATTCACCCATGGATTTTTCTCCTTATCAGGAAACTTTAGCAGCTGATCAATGTTCCAGAGAAACTTCAGTGGCATCAGACGAATCTATCCACCTTAACCAAAAATATATGTCAACTGATACATATCCAACAGTTTCTACTGATGCAGCAGCTCAGGGTTTTGTTGCTGCAACACAACATCCAGGTATCAATAAACATGATCTAAAGTGCAGAGAACTAAATGAGGAAAAGGTCAATTGTTGTATTGAGCAAAGTGTTGGTTGTGAACATACTTCAGATGATTTTGTTTCTGCAGCTGAAAATGAGTGTTCAAAGTCTGAATCTGAGAAGGTGGATGTTAACAGTTATTGTAGTGTTTCTACTGCAGAAGCTGACCGTAGTTTTTGCTCAAACATAGAGAGGAAAGAAGGTGATGCCGGGGCACAATTTTGTTTTGTAGGCTCGGAAGATTCTGGTGAGGCTAACTTCACTTTTGCTGCATCGTCCTCTGGCCAAGGTCATGTTTCAGCAGCGAAGCGTGGTTATAGAAAGAAAAATCGAATGAAAGTTGGTCAAGATTCGTATACTTTTACCCCTACCTCAAAAGTTCAGGTTCCATCTCCTTCCGTGCAGTTTTTTCCACTTGCTGGTAGTTCTTTTCCTTCAGGCCCTGGGCAGGGTAAAAAAGAACAAATTTCTCAAAGCAAAGGGGAGCATATACCTGAAGCATATAAAGAATCAGAAGTCAAACAAGGGTCAATCTCAACAACAGCTGAAACTTCTGCAGTTCAGGAGACCTGTGAAAAGTGGCGACTCAGGTTCTTTTATATTTATACAGTGTGATCGTTTTGCTAACCATCTTTTGAATCAAATCTTATTTCTAGTTTTCTCTCTTTTAGATTTTGCCTGATTAGTTTTCAAAATAGACTTTTTGTGAGCCATAACTGACAGTGCTGTATTTAATTTTTATCAGGGGCAACCAAGCTTATGCTAATGGTTTTCTATCAAAAGCAGAGGATTATTATACACGGGGGGTGAATTGTATTTCTCCAAATGAGACATCCAGAAGCTGCCTTAAGGCTTTGGTATTGTGCTATAGCAACCGCGCAGCCACAAGGATGTCTCTTGGGAGGATGAGAGAAGCACTAGGGGATTGTATGGCAGCTGCTGCATTAGATCCCAATTTTATGAAGGTTCAAGTTAGAGCTGCAAAGTAAGAATTCCCTTTTTTGTTGCCTTTTTTATGATAAAAAGACTTTTATTAAACAAAGAAGAACATATGGGCTGGTAACAAAGGTGGCCTGTTGCTGGACAGATGTGGGGAAGCCTATAAGGACCTTGTCTTTGCATCTCTTCAATTGCTTGATTTTTTACTTAGGCTTCTGAGACAGATCCAATAGTGTGTAAAGGTATCTAAAGGAACTGTAGTATTGCACTATGAAGGATCTTACCCCTAACTTAAATGGTTAAAGGCTAAGGAACGCAAACTTCTTGTGCTAATAACTTAAAAGGACTTCATATGTGTGTGTGTGTGGATATCATTAAGCAACCTGACCAGCAGTTTAAAAGGACTTCATTTGTGTGTTGAATTATATATATTATAAAGTTTGACTAAATAAAAAGGTGTTTAAGAGATGGTTTTGTCTGGTAATCATATTGAAAGGCTTATTAGTATCTCCCACATCAAAGCTTTAACAGTGTGGATTTGTAGTACAATTAGCAGTTTAATATTAGTTTTTTTTTTTTTTCTTGTGCGTTCTTTTTAATGATTTAACACAATGTCCTTAGGCCCAACCACGTTACCTTCACCTTTTCCTCTTAGTTTTTCTTTCTTTTTTTGTTCTCTCTCTCTCTCTCTTTTTGAGTTTTCTTCATTTGTGTTGCTTGTTACATAAATCAGCTTTTCATATGGAATAGAACTTCAGTTACATCCATAGTTTTCAAGGCGCCAAGGCGAGGCTAGGCGACAGGGGGGCGCCTCGGCATTGCCTAGGCGATGGATTTTTTTAAGTAAAAATCAAATATCCTAGGGTAGTTCCCTAGGTTCCATAACCAACTTTCTTTAATAACTATGAAAATTATAAACTTCATGTTTAAGTATACAAAAACAACATATTTATAAGAAAAATAAGAAAGGAAAGAAAATTAAAAAAATATAGGGGCTGAACCTCTATTTTTGTTATAGGGAAAGAAGAAAAGAAAAGGTAGAAGAAGAAATGTGTTGATTAGGCAAAATTTTAAGTTCTTCCCTTACTGGTTCAGATTTTGAAGTCATTGAGGGTTCAATACAGCAGTTAGCAATGCTTGTGTTGATTAAACTCTAACAAATAAGAAAATAACAAAAAGAAATTAATTTATAAACACAAAAATGAATATTTTTCTTTAATAATGTCTATTTTATAATTATAATCTCAAAAAAAATAACAATATAAAAGTGTTTTATTACACAGTATGAAAAACTGCTTGGCGACTGGGCGAGGCGAGACTCCAAGGGCGCCTTGTCGCCTAGGCGTCACCTCGACAACTATGGTTACATCTAAAATAAGACGATGATTCCATTCTTGGCTTTACAACCATGTTTGGTCTTGAATTCTATTTGGTGGTAATGGAAATCCATCAGCGTCCCTTCTTTATTGTCTTGCGTTTACTTCTTTTAGGAATTGGTACTGTTATATTTGGTTGTGACGACTGACGAGCCTTCATCATCATTGTTTTTCCTCTGGATTGACAAGATGTTAATCACAAGATTATGGTTAGGAAGTAGGGTACTAACCGTACTATACACTGTTAAAGCTTCTTCAATGTTGTGAAGAATTAGTATCTCCCATCTTTTCTTGAGTTGTCCTATATAATGCTTCTATTGTAAAGTATGTTATCTGGTGCTTCTTTGGTGTGTCATAGGATGGTGCTTCATCACCTATTAGTGGAACTGTGGAAGTATTATCAGTTTACATGATTACAGAAGACCTTAGCTGACATTTCGATTTTTACTAACGAACACTTTTGATATTGTGAAAATCTCATATTCTCATGAATTCTCTTCGTGTTGGTGCATTCTTTCAAGTAAATATGATATTCCTTGAGGTACCAGGAATAAATATTAGATCTTTAACTTTTTTTTTTTGATAAATAACTGAAGTTATTTCATTAAAAAGAAACAGAGGCCAGCTACACTAGAACAAGCGGCTGGCCAAAGAACAATACAAGCTTAAGAGAAAAGCAAAAACCACTCAGAAAAAAAGAGAAAAAATCTACAGATTAAAGCCCGGTCCAGGACAACCCCAATCGAAAGAAACTTTCCCCACCCCAGCTCTTGCCAAGGAGTCTGCTACTGTGTTAGCACTTCTAGGTACCGAGTTGAACGAGGGGTTCAAAATGGAACCTAGAGAGCTGGCCAGTGTCACCAATGGTCTGAACTGCCAAGGTGAGTGAGTCAGAGAATCCAACCAGCCTACCACTGTTTGACAATTGCCTTCCACCTCCACATTCCTCCAAACTTTACATCATTATTAGTTTTAGCCTTGAATTAGAGCCAATAACTCTGCTCTTTAGGAATTTCGTTCCCCAATTGGACCTGAATAACTAAGGATGATGATGCCTTGACCGTCCCTCATCGCTCCTCCTACTCCAGACATTCCTGGATTGTCCAAGCATCCCCCATTGAATTTCAATTTAAACCTTCCTAGAACAGTGGAGATCACACCATAGACCTTTGGGGGTTACTTGTGGAAAAACCAGCTACAATATTCCAACCTCTCAATAAATCATTAAGAGGAATGCCAGAAAATTCTTTACATACGATGATTCAGTGTTTTTCTGTAATACTTCTGTGAGCAATTAGAGTATTTGATGGAAACTTTTTGGTGGTTTGAAGCAGTCTCAGGGCTGCGTCTGAATATCCTTAAAAATGAATTGGTGGCAGTGGAAGAGGTTCAGGAATTGCAAGATGGGGCAGAATGTTGGGGTTTCAAGGTGGGGAAGCTGCCAATCAAATATTTGGGAATGCCATTAGGGGCTAAATGCAATTCAAAATCTATTTAGGAACCTATCGTAGAGAGGTGGAAAAGAAATTGGCTGCGTGGAAGTCCAAATATTTATCAAAATGGGGTAAGTTCACTTTAATTAAATGTGTGCTGTCATATATCCTGGGCTATTTACTGTTCATGTGCCCAATTCCAGTGGGGATGGCAGCCCCTATTGAAAAGAGAACGAGGGAGCTCTTATGGAAAGGCTGGAAGGACGATAAGAAGATTCATCTAGTAAACTGGGGAAGGGTCTGCAAGAACAAGAAAAATGGAGGTTTGGGAATCAGAAGATTGAGAGATTTGAATATTGCCCTTCTTAGTAAATGGTTTTGGAGATTTGGAGAGCAAGAGAATAGCCTGTGGAGGACAGTAATTAAAGCAAAATATAGCCTAAGAAGCAGGGGTTGGGAGCCAGGTGAAGCAAGTCAACCATATGGTTGCTTTGTATGGAAAGGGATAGAGAAAAACCTATAGTCGTTTCCGCAAGGAAAGCATTTTTGAAGTGGGGAATGAAACCAAGATCAGGTTCTAGAAGGTTTACTGATGTGGAGGCAGTCCTTTGAAAGATGATTTCCTTGAGTTATTTGTTGTAGCAGTGGATAAGGAAGCAAGGTAGCAGCAGATTATTTGCAGTTTTCCAGGGGAAATTGCGTTTGGAATCCCCTTTTCAGAAGAGCTTTAAATGACTGTGGGATTAAACTTTCTGCTTGTTTGTTGCAAAAGCTTCATAGTACTCATATTAACCCTATCAGAGATGACAGAAGAGTGTGGCTGGGTGGGAAATAACCCAAAGCTCCGAGAACCCCCTATTTTGCTTATGTTGTTCATTCTTTCATTGCAATAAAATATCTTCTTAAAAGGCAATGAATGTTGTAAAATCATTATTTTTTATGTGAGAAATAAGAATTTCAGACCCTAACATAGACTTGTTCGGGCTTGCCTCGAGGGGTGTGGTTGGGGGTCCGGGGGCGGAGCCCCAGGCCCAGCCGTTAGACTAAAAAAAAAGCAAAAAGTGCAAAATTTTAAAAAGGCGCACGCCTGGGCTGAGGCGCAAGGCGCACCAGGCGCGCGCCGTTTGAAAGAGGTGAGCCTAGGACCTGGGCGAGGCACAGATCGCCTCGCCTGTGTGCCCAGGCACGCCTTTTAAATCACTGGCCACACCCGAGAAGCATAGGAGCAATGCAGCAACATATGATTAGTGCTTTCCCCATTCTTTAGGAAAGAACACACACATGAGGGGAAATTGACCAGTTTCTGCACTTTCTTTGGAGTAAGCAAATGGTCTTTCTAGTATTAACAAGTAGAGAGGTGGTTTACAGTTTCATTGCTTTTTCCCCTCGTTTGATTTGAAGTACATACTTTAAGGTTGAGATGGCTGTGTGTAGAAACTAATCACTATACAAATGCGCTGTTTCAGAATATTCATATGGACATGATTTGGCACATTAAGTTGAGGTCCACCAATTGGTCATAGACAATGTGTTATGTGATTTTTGCTTAAAAGAAACATAGTAAAGGTTTTGATGATGTTTTCATGGACCTCTATTCATCCAGCTATTTTGACTTTAAAATAACTCATTTGCTCCTAATTGTTCCTTATTTTGCACGGTCATGTTGTGTCAATAAGAATGTTCTATGTATTCTATTTCATCAGAGGCTACCTTAGAATTGGGCAGCTACATAAGAAATGAAAGACAATTTGATGTCCTTTAATTTCACCTTTTCTTTTTCTACTCCAGCTGTTATCTTGCATTGGGGGAAATTGAAGATGCTGTGAAATATTTCAAGAAATGCTTGCAGTCAGGAAATGAAGTATGCTTGGACCGCAAACTTGTAATAGAGGCCTCTGATGGTCTTCAAAAAGCTCTGGTACTGTACTCTTTTTATTTATTCATTTATTTATTTTTGTTATTTACCTGATTCTGAACATGCTTGCAAACCATTATCCTGTTTAGCATATCATGATGCCAAATTAGGAAAGATTTTTCTTAGCTGAGTTTTATTCAATTTAAAAAGGTGCGACATCCATGTCTGGTTTCATTTTAAGTAGATAGAGTCACTTATTTGTGATGTCCCTTATAATTTATGTATGCTGAGGTTGTAGAGAATTCTTGATCATCACTTAACAGCATTCACATGTCTATACAAATATTGAGTGAAGCATTAATATCTGGGTTCCTTATTTTCTATTTTTTCTTTAAGTGAAATGCCTGTAAATGAAAAGAAATTAGAGATGGCTTCCCTTTGGCAGGAATTGAAGTGCAATTCAATGTGATGCTCGCTTATTCACCAGAGGGGTTGGGTTCTATGATAGATTAGTGAGATTTTGGTGCTAAAGTTTGGTTCCTATAGATGCTATAAAAAATGGCTTGGATCCTATGGATATAGCTCCATTGTAGTATGTTGATGAGTATGGAAGGAAGAGACACAATTGCATTTTTGAGAGAAATACTGATTGTTTGTTAGTTTCATATGTTTTTTTGGGTTCCTGAGATTAGTTGACTACTCTTTTCCTAATTCTGGGAATTGTAAATCTATGCATCATTGATATGTCATATGTGTTAGATTTTTCACATCTGTATCACAGTTTTGATGTTTGAACATGGTACTTTCCTCTTCTGCTCAATAATAGAAAACCTTACTTTTTTAAGAAATTGAAATAAGATGGGTAAGAAAGTCAGCTAATTGTTTGGTAAATGTTTTGGCTAAGCAAGAAGTTCATAAACATCAAATGTATTGGGATTAATTGTAACAGAGTGATGGGGTGTTTGTTGCTGTTACAGGTTTCTCAGTTTTCACAACCTCTTGTTTAACCTTTTTTCTAATTCAAGTAATTGATAAAGTTTTCTGTGTTGCTGATCGAAAGATATTTCTGTCCAAAAAGAAATCTAGATCACAGAACCTACTTATCAAAGAGTATTAAAAATAGTCATCATCATCGTCTAAGCCTTGTCCCAACTTTATGGGGTCAGCTACATGAATCCTATTTTGTCATTCTGTTCTATTCAGTGCCATATCCATTGTCAAATTATGGGCACAAAAAGCATTAGAAATAGTATCATAATCAAAAAAAGTTGTGGAGACAAACATCCCTAGAAAGATGCTTGATCACCAGCCAGGATCTAAGCATACCAACTGCCTAGTTTAAGGGTCTGTTTGTTTCCTCTCAACTCTTATCTCTTAAGAGGAATCTTATAACTCTAAGAGGAAAATGAGTGTTTGTTTCTACTTATCTCTTATCTCTTAAAGTGGAATCTTACAACTTTTTGTTTTCTAATGATAATCCCAAAAGGCAAACAAAAGTTCTCATATATGGGGTTAAAATGGACACTTGACAATTTTCAGAATTCAGAACAACATTCTCTGCATTCAAAGTTCAGAGGAAAGAAAAGTTCACCAATACCAATATACCTCTTAATGTAATTATTGCACTTTCAGATGTCAGACGTCAGAGCAAACGAACAAGCCCTAAGAGATCATCTTCAAGTGTGCCTTTATTCTTGAAAATGCACAGGTTTCTTTCATTCCATAGTGTTGTAAGAGCTGAACCCTGCGTGGGCCTTATGTTTATGTTATAAGTTATTTCTGGGCCTTAAGTTATTGGGCCTGTTTTATTACTAATCAGGCGCAGAGTTGTACTTTTATCCCTTTTTGAATCTTGATATAAATTCCATTCTCTAGGGCTGGCTGAAGCTAAGCTGCTGCCCAACAACTCTTTTCTTCTTCTTCTTCTTCTTTTCCTCCCTTCTCTCCAAATCTTCTTTTCAGGTTAGCAAACATGGTATCAGAGCATTGGAGATCTTTCTTCGTTCGACCTGCTGTTTATCTTTTTTTTTTTTCCTCTCTTCACTCCTCTTTTTTCTGTTTGCTGTTTGGAGTGACCTAGGACAGGTATAACTCATTGACTTGCTCCTAGGGTTTCCCTTTGGGTGTATGGACCAAGGGGAGTTTTTCTACCTAGACATATTTCCTACTAGACACTATTTGAAGCCTGTAGCCATTCAGCTACTAAGGAGATCTGTCCAGAACAGGTCCATAAGGACTAACTAGATAGTCCTAGTTTTAACTTAACTCTAGATTTAGGGTTCAGATTTCTGTTGGCTGTTGCAGGAGTATTCCTCAAGAGCATAAGAACTCCAGGGTGTTTTGTGAGAAGTGGTTTGTAAGGTATTTGTTCTTAAAGAGATGTCTTCAGTTTCAGATACAGCAGCTGTAGAGGAAGTGTCTTCCAAGAACAATCGGTCTGTTGGGGGGTTTCTAATATTGAAGTTGCCAGCATGCAGCGATTACAGATTACTAGTGTTTTATTGGATTAATATAATTTCAGAGACTGATCTGTTTCAGCCAATTTAGTCATAACTGGAAATGGACTTTTGGGATATATTAATGAAAAAAGGAGCCTAAAGTGGATGATGATGAATACCTAGCTTGGTGTAGAGAAAATGCTATGGTTATGTCCTGGCTGCTAGCATTCATGACTCCAAGGGTGGCCAGAACTCTCCAGCACTTCTCAGCAGCCTTTAAAATCTGGGAGAAGGTCACTAAGACTTGTGGACAGCACAAAAATAATGCGAGAATATATAGACTGATTCAAGACATGCTGTTCTGTAGCAAGGAGATATGTCTGTGGCTATGTACTTTGCTACTCTAGAGGGATTATGGGAAGAACATGATCATCATTTTGTGATTTACTGCAATAGAACTAGTGATAAATAGAAGTATGACAAGCAAACAGAAGAAGGCCAAGCTTTTAAATTCTTAGCAAGGTTGGATCCAATATATGAAGGGATAAGATCACAGATTTTGGGTAGAGATGAACTCCTAGATCTCCAACATGTTTACTATCTTGTGATAAATGAAGAGATGAGAAGAAAGGAGATGTAGGTAGATAATTAGTTGCAACAGTTGGAGCATTCTGCCCTTGTATCCTCAGCTCCAAAGGGAGGGAAGGGGGCTGATAAGAAGCACCGTAAGTGTTCTAATTGCGGAGGTGAAAAATACACTAAAGAGACATGTTGGATTCTTCATCCACACCTGAAACCAGCTGAATTAAGAAAATAAAAGATGCCACAAAAAGGACGGGTGTAAGGGGAAATACGGCTATGTCTAATATTGCTGATGGCAGAAGAATTCATATATGGTTACTGCTTCCCTAACGGGTCAGACCACTAGTTCCTCTACTTTTGGAGCCCTCTTGGACCTTATGGCTGATGAGGTCGAAATTCTTAGTTGGGCTATGACTCGGTTTAGAAGCAACTCCATTCCTTTATCTTCTTTTGCTAAAGCAAGTACTGCCTTTTTCCATAGTGTTACTAGCTCCATTCAATCCCAACTATTAGATTATTGATTCGGGTACTTCTTATCATTTAATTCCTGGCCAAGATAAGGTGAGAGTAGCTGATAGTTCCTTCTCCACTATTTATGGTAAGGGGGAGGTGAACCTCAGTGATGATCTCTCTCTTAAGTCAGTTCTGCATGTTCCTAATTTTGCTTCAAACCTGTTATCTGTTTCTAAGCTTACTAATAATTTGAATTGCAGTATAACTTTTTCTCTTACTCATTGTATCTTTTAGGACAGATTGACGAAGAGAATGATTGGGAGCGGTCAGCCACAAAGCTGGAGGCCTATATTATTTCAATGAAGATATTAGTTCGACCCTGCATACATCTTCATTCAGTGGTAGCAACAATTAGGAGTCCCTTACTAGGTTGCATTTGTGGCATGCTGGGCTGGGTCATTTGTCCTTTTCTTTATTGAAAATGTTGTTTCTAGCAAGGTTTTAAAAACCGACCCTCAAATGGAACCACTGTGGCCATCGGTTTTCGGGTCAGCAGTTCAACCATCCGGGTTGAATGGTTCAAGTGGTTTTGATTAGATTGGAAAATTAGGGCAAATATATCATTACTCTTTTAGTCTTTTATGAGAAAAGAGAGACATCTGTGGTTGTTGGTTGAGAAAGAAAGAAAGGAAGAATGGAAGGAAGGAAGGAAGGAAGGAAAGGACGGAAGAATGTAGAACTACATGTTCAGTTTTAGATAATAAAATTTGTGCTCCTTTTGATTTGGTTCACTTTGACGTTTCAGGCCCTTCACCCCATGCTTCTATGGATGTCTATCGTGATTTTATTAGTTTTGTCGATCACTATTCACAATGCACTTGGATATATTTGTTGAAATGTTGTGCTAATGTACCATAGATAGACAATAATGCTTTTCTATAAGATGGTCGAGACACAGTTTAGTAAAAGAATCAACAGTTTCACTTTGACAATGCAGCTGAATATTTTAAAGGTTCCTTCAATATCTTCTTAGAAGAAGGATGTGAACTTCATCAGTCTTCATGAGTTTATACTCCCCAATAGAATGGGGTTGTTGAGAGAAAGAATAGATACCTTTTGGAAACTGCAAGGGCATTATTATTTTGGCACAAGGTACCTAAGAAGTATGTGTCTCGGGTAGTTCTTTCAACTTTATAACTGATAAATAGGATGTGCCCTCTAGGGTGTTGGATAGGGAAACTCCTTTCTCTGTTTTGTGTCCTACTCAAAATGATTTTTCTTTGCCTCTCAAAGTGTTGGGGTGGTGTGTTTGTTATGTCCATGTCAAGGATCCATCATAAACTAAATTGTATCCTAGGGCTATTTGGGGTGTCTTTCTGGGGCATTCTTCTACACAGAAGGGGTTCAAGTGTTATGATCCTGTTTTTGGCAGAAAATTTGTAACCAAGGATTTTGTCTTCCATGAATCTCAATCTTACTTTCAGTCTTCCGAAAATTCTCTTCAGGGGGAGACTAGTGGGGTGGAAGAGGATTCTTCTTCTTCTCCTTCATTCTTTGTGCCACCTCTTGTTCATCTTCTAGCCCTCCACCTTCTACTCCTGACCTTTCTAGCTCTAGTACTTGCCTAGATGAAGCTGATGGGACTACTCCTACTAATGATTCTGATGAAGGAGATGATGTTAGGAATGGTAACACTAATCTCAATCAACAGAAGGAGCTGAAAACATTCTATAGGAAGAGAAAAAGGGATCCTCTAGCTTGTGATGTCAACCGACTAGACTCCAATCAATCTGATCCTGTTGATCCAGGTAATTCTAGTGCTCGTGTTTCTTCTTTGATTTCTGATTTAGACCTTCCGATTGCACTTTGTAAACCAATTTGTTCTTGCACTACTAGACATCCTATTGCCAAATATGTTTCCTTCCAGATACTTTATAAATGATTCTAAATGGAGTGAGGCAATGAATGAAGAAATGATGGCCTTAGTGAAAGTCAAAACTTAGGAATTAGTAGATCTACCAAAAGGAAAGAGTACAGTGGGATTTAAATGGGTCTTTACTATGAAGCATTAGAGCAGATGGTATTGTGAAAAGGTGCAATGTCTGGTTGGTAGCAAAAGGGTTCACATAGAAAGAAGGAATTGACTACAAGAAGACTTTTGCCCCATTTGTAAAGCTGAACACTTTACATCCTGTTGTCCCTGGTAGCAAATTACGCTTGGGAATTACTCCAAATAGATGTAAAGAACACATTCTTAAATGGGGAATTACATGAGAAGTGTTCAGGAATCCTCATCTTAGGCATGACTTCCAAGGGAAAGTATGCAGACTAAAGAAGGCTCTATATGGGCTAAAGTAGTCTCCCCATGCTTGGTTTGAAAGGCTTTGTGGAGCCATGAAGAACATTCAGAGTGGTGCTGATCATACATTATTTATAAAGAGGCAAGGCAAAAATCTTATTGCTCTCGTAGTGTATGTGGATGACATGGTCATCATTGGGAATGATCCAGAAGAGATAACGAGACTGAAGTTCTTAGCATCATAGTTTGAAATCAAAGATTTGGGCCATCTTAGGTACTTTCTTGGAATTGAGGTTTTAAGGTCCAAAGAAGTTATATGCATATATCAATGGACAAAATCATGGTTTATAGGAAAACTATTTTATTTGTCTCTTACTAGGCCAAATATAGCTTATGATGTTCATGTGGTGAGTCAATTTATGCATGCACCCAAGGTTCCACACATAGAGGTTGTTTAGAGAATTCTTAGATACTTAAAAACTTGTCTCGGAAAGGGATTCTTGTTCAAGAAGCATAACAAACTTGAGGTTAAAGCTTTCACTAATGCTGATTGGGCAGGTTCCATGGGTGATAGAAATTCTATGTCTAGCTATTGTACCTTTGTTCGAGGAAACTTGGTTACTTGGAGGAGTAAGATGCACAATGTAGTTGCAAGATCAAGTGTTGGCTGAATATAGGGCAATGGCTCATGGTGTTGCAGGACTATTGTGGCTTTGGATTTTACTTGGTGAATTGGTAATAAGGGTTGATAGTCCTCTAAAGCTATATTGTGACAACAAGGCTGCAATTAACATTGCAATTAATCCAGTACAACTTGACAGAACCAAACACATCAAGGTTGATAGGCATTTTGTAAGGGATAGAATTGTTTTAGGTGAATTGTGTATTCCCATACCTTTCGAGATGCAACTTGCATCACTAAAGACCTGCCTTCGGTGAAATTTCATGGACTACTTGGCAAGCGGGGCATGATGGATTTCTATGCTTAGCTTGAGGGGGAGTGTTGTAAGAGCTGAACCCTTTGTAGGCCTTATGTTTATGTTATAAGTTTATTTCTGGGCCTTGAGTTATTGGGCCTTTTTTTTTGTTGCATAAGGTCATGTTACCAATCAGGGGCGAAGTTGTACTTTTATTTCTTTTTGAATCATAATATGAATTCCATTCTCTAGTTCTGGCTAAAGCTAAGCTGCTACCCAACAACTTCTTCTTCTTCCCTGGAAAGCATAAATTCACATGAAAGGCCCCTAAAAGACAGCTCCATAAAACCGTGGCTAGATTGTAGTGAAGGAACAAATGGTTTGGAGTTTCTGCCTCTCAGTTGCATAAAACACAAAAGTTAAGAGGTATCTGGAAGACCTATATCTCTCCCATTTAGGTTATCCACTGTGAAACATTTATCCAGTACAATGATCCACAACATTTAAGAAATTTGGGAGGAACATCTCTATACCAAAAGTTGGAACTTGGTGTAGGTATGGCACTGCAGAGATGGTCCAAATTCTAGAGTTAGAGTGTAGAATGCTGGGAAGAACAAGGCATTAGGGACGAGACTGGATTGGAAGATGAGAATAGAATTCTTCGGGAATAAAGGACGGAATGATGCTAGGGCTAGAATGCTCAACTACTCAGAATGATAGAACAGTTGGAGCTGAAGGAACTCTAGGGTTAGGTCACTGGTGACAATCTAACTCCAAAGGTATCAAATGACTCAAAAAAATGACCCTCTTTCATGTCATAAATCCTACTATTTATAGATGAAGTGGGGGTTCGCTTTGTGCATGGGCAGGATAAAAAATTCTAGAATATTGCTTAGGTGGTTAAGGGCTCTAGTCCCTAGGTTGCTCTGATGAGGATACGTGTCAGGCTGTGATGCATGGAGCATATTCACTCTGATTCCCATACGCATCTGTCGTGCACAACCTTTTTAGTTATTTTCTCTCTAGAACACAACATGCTTTATTTACTTTGTTTTGCATCCCACAAAGAGTATCTGTGGTTCAGGTCTGAGTGTTAAAGAGTGTCTGCGACTCTGTGGTCCTCCTTAGACAAGTGCTATTAACCAGACTACCGTTGAGCCTATAGTCCTGTTACTGTGGCTAGTCTGCGGCAATACTTTAGTATTACCTAAGTCCATACTTTGTTGTTTAGTCTCTTGAAGAAGGATTTTGAAGAAAAAAATACCATCTTCCTCCCAAAGCCAAATTCTTGTGTCCTCTTCGGCTGGGTGGTTGATGTAGGAGGGGATCCAAAGGTTGTAATTGGATAGTTAAAGGGTGAAAGATTCGTTCCTTGAATATATACCCACGGCATGGAAGGGGGAAAGATCCTTGAGATCTAGGTTGATCATCTCAATGAAATGCATCCTTGGGAGTTTTAAATTCCCCTGTTGATTTCTCTTGTAAGGGAAGCAAAGTGGCTAATGGAATTGGTCTATATTGGGGGTCTGACTTGGAGGGTAGACAATTGAAATATAAAGAATGCTGGATTCTGGTCCTTTTTATGTATTCTATGCATGCATTCTGACAATAGCTAGGCATGTTTCTTCTATGTTGTTTTTGGAAATAAAATTCTTGAACTGTTATCAACAAAAAAAGTAATGAAAAATGTTCTTTTAGTATTATTCTGGCTAGTAAGGTGTGTAGTTATAGTTATCGAAGCATGTTTTTTCTGTCTTTTTTGGCAATAAAATTCTCAAACTGTTACCAACAAAAAAGAAGGAATGGAATGTGACCTTTTTGGTATTGTTCTGTCTACTACGGAATATAGTTATAGTTAATGAAGCCTTTTATTTTGGAGCTGAGCTCTTATCCTTTTTTGTTCTAGTGATGTGGTGCTTCTTTCTGCTTTTTTTTTTTTCCTTTTCTAGTACTGTAGGCTTTGCCAATAGGTGAAATGGTGTAGTGATTGACTTTTATTTAACATTTCTGAATGGCAGAAAGTGGCTGAGCATATGGATCGTTCTACTGAACTCTTGCAAAGGAGAACATCTAGTGATGCGGAAAATGCATTGGAAATAATTTCTGAGGGTTTGTCAATGAGTCCATACTCGGAGAAATTAATGGAAATGAAGGCAGAGTCTCTCTTAAGGGTCTGTGCTGCTTTTAACTCACTACATAGAAAATTCATTACTGTAAAGCCTTTTTTTTTGGAACCGGTATGGTATAACTTATATTAACAGCAAAAAAGAAAATCCATGTACAACAGGAGACTGTACATTGGGGAATATACAAAAAGAAATATTAAACATTTAAACTCATTATACCTGATCACAAAAAATGACATCTGAGTAACTAAAAAAACTGCTAAAAGGTCTTCCTTTGAATGAAGAGTTATTGCCCAACCATGCGAGTAAAAAAACATCTGAACGTTTCTTTCCTCCCATAAACCCAATGTTATTGCCACTGGAATTATGCTCCAAACTACCCTTTTCTCTTGCTACTCTGAAGTCCTAGGCCTTCAAAAACTGCAGAACTGTTTCTGGAAAACAACCTTGAAGTCCAAAAATGCCTCACACTCTATTCCATGATTCTGCAACAAATCTGTAATGAAGAAATATATGATCTGATGTTTCAATGCAGATGTTTCAGAATCTACAGTTCAGACTATCTACTACCATTCCCTTTTTCATGAGATTCTCAGTAGTTAGGCATTTCTAAGGCTGCCACCTACATAAGAAAAGAGATTTTGGAGGGAATAGCAGTATGCCACACTTTCGTACTTGGGAATGAGCTATGACAATTAGTAAGTAAATTGTTATACATCTGACTGAGAATTTTTTATACCGTTCCCGTATCCATTCTCTCTTATCACCCTGGTTTCTTTTCAAGTCAGAAGTATACAACAGCTGCATTGGCTCCATTAGGGATTCAACTTCCCAATCATTCAAGCTTCTTCTAAACAGGGGGCACTACACAATACTGTCATTTTACTTTTGAAAGAAAGTAAAGTATGTTTGTATTAATAAACCAAACTTGTACAAATAGATGATGTACACAGGGACTACATAGATTCTGCCCTGGCAGCTCTATACCCCTCAATCCTGCTTTACAAAAAGATTTTCATGTACAAAAAAGGAATTGAAGCCTATATTTTTAAATAGCTTATGACTTCTGCACAAAGTGGAATTTTCCAATAACATTGAGGTCTTTATTTACTGCAATATCAAAAAGAGCAGGAAAAATCTCCTTCAGAGGCCTCTCTGTAGACCAGCTGTCACTCCAGAAGTTAACATATTCCATTCCTTGTCACATACATGGCACAACCATATGAAGAATTCATCATCCCCAGGTCCCAATATCTGTTCCTTGAACCATATTTTGCTTCAATTAGTCTTCTCCACAGAGCTGAGGGTTCCTTGTTTACATTTTCGTTAATCTAGCTCATTAGTTTTGGAATCTAATTATCTGTTATTCAACCACTTATTTGTTCATTGGAAAACTTGGCCCTGCCATTGATTTACTTTTGGAAATATAACAGCTTCGGAAGTATGATGAGGTGATTCAGCTGTGTGAGCAGACCCTTGATTCTGCAGAGAAGAATTCTGCCACAGAAAGTGCTGATGGCCAGCCAGAAAACATGGATGGCTCTGAAAGCACAGAGTACTCTCCTGCAAAGCTTTGGAGATGGCGCTTGATTTCCAAGTCCTACTTTTATTCCGGAAAGCTTGAAGAGGCCCTTGATTTTCTTGAGAAGCAAGAGCAAGCAGAATCTGTTACTGAAAAGTAATAAAAATTTCATATTGTTATAGTAGTATTTTCTATTGTTAAGTTGAAGCAGGATGTTCTTCATTATATGCACTTGAGGTTTCTAATTTACAAATAATTCCAGGAATGGAGGCAAGAGCCCAGACTCATTAATGTCATTGGCTATTACTGTGCGTGAACTATTACGTCATAAGGTATTGCCAGTCAATGCATAAGCATCTTTCAGTTCATTGACATTTTTATAATTGCAATGCAAACTAATATAGTTTAAGATGTTCTTAGTCTTGTTATCTTTATGTTTGACCCATATATGCCATGCTTTATTTTATTTCTATATCATGAGAATCAGTTTGAAATCTTGACATTAACTGATACACAAGTCTTCCAGTTTCATACAAGACTGTATATCTGGCTTTATTTTTCAAATATAGATAACATTTTGTTGGTAGGTGATTAGGTTCATTCTGTTTTTCTGAAATATTATAAAGGAAAGAGGCAAAATTTGTTAGCTAACCTATATTTCTGGTTATGGAACCATAAAGGAAGGTCACCTCTTAAAAAGTACTATTGTCTTTTAATACTAGAAAAAAGTAGTCTTCAGCAACATAAACCATGGTTGTTTCACAGGATGCTGTTGTGGCATCATAATTATGCTACTTTTTTTACGAGTTACCCTCCTATTAGGCCTTTTTTCTTGTCTGTTTTGATTTCATCATGTTTTAGTTGTCCAGATGGGTGTTTTAATATCATTTCTTCTATTAAATAAAATAGCTTGGGACTTGGGTCTAACATATTGGATGTGAGATGGCCTTGTGTTATTGTGTGATGCAGTGAAATATCTCTTCTTGTATACCTTTTGGTGCAGTGAGAGAACTCACTACTGTCCGATTCTACTATATATACCAGGAAAAACAATATGTCTGACTAAATGCAAGTGTGCTATAAACCAGCCGGCACTGAGGGCTATTTTTCTATTTTCCTTGTCCCTTCTTTTTAGGAGGGTGGGGCTAGGGGGTGTGGGTGTGGGGAGGGAGTTTGTACCTGCAAGGGTCTCATAGAATGACTGAAGTTCTTGAACTAAACCTAGTGATTTAAAAGGCGCGCAGGCGAGGTGCATTTTAGGGTAGGCACCTTGCCCAGTTCCTAGGTTCAAAACCTGATGCGCCTTGCGCCTTAGTCCAGGCATGCACCTTTTGAAAAATTTACGTTTTTTTTTTAACCTAGTAGCTGGGCTGGGGGCTCCACCCTTGGACCCCCAACCACACCCCTCAAGGCAAGCCCAAGAAGCATGTCTTTATTTGCTCACTTTGCTCGCTCACCAAAGCTCCGAGAACCCCCTATTTGCTAATGTTGTTCATTCATTCATCTTAATAAAATATCTTCTTAAATGGCAATTAAAATTATAAAATCATTATTTTTTGTGTGGAAATTAAGTTTGATAAATCCAAGAGGTGGAGGGTTCCAGTTGGGGTTCGAGGTCTTCTTAACTGAGGTTGAACTTGCAATTTCTTTCCATTTTCTTAACAAATCATCTGTTGAAAAATCTGTGAAGAAATCCACTGTTTTCAACCAATGTATTACCCTTATATGGATCAATTCTAGCATGGTTTCCAAACTTCTCTCCTTTTCTAAAAAAATCCATGAGTTTCTTTCTTCCCATATAGTCCAACAAACAACAACTTTAAGACATCTCCACATGATCCTTGACCTTTTTGTTGGGCAGTTGAAAGAAGATGAAGTAAACAAGCTTTGCATATTCATTAGGGAAGTCCACCTACACCCAAACAAAGAAGCAAACCATTCCCATTTTTTTTTTTTTTTGCAAAATGACAGGATATTAGTAAGTGGTGCGCAGACTCACCAACAGCTTTACAAAGAACACATCAGTGAGGAGATAAACATCTATTGGGTCTTTTTCTTTGAAGCAAATCACCTGTGTTGACTCTTTCTAGGAAAGCTTCCCAATAGAAACTCCCAACCTTTAGAGGGATAGGTTGACACCACACTTCTTTAGTAGGGAATGAAAAGCCAATAGGAACAGCCGGTTGTATTAGGGCTTTAAAGGAGGCACAAGTAAAGGAACTTGAAGGAGAAAGAGTCCAAGTCCTACTATTTGTTTTTGTAGGCTCCAAGAAAACCCCATCAAGAATGGACTATGGACATGAGAGTTAAGGTAGTATCCAATTATGTGTCCTTGAGAACTCTTCTAAAACCCAAGTTCCATCCAAACCCAGAGGTTGAGTTCGAGGGTACAAGGAAAGTGGTAAGTGGTTCATTTTTGAAGGTGGAGATAGCAAAGAGGGCTAGAAATTGGTCTTTCAAAGGAGAATCCCCAACCTAAACATGTTCCCAAAACTTAATGGGGTTACCTGAGTGCAAGTCATACTTGATCCAAGGAGAAAATAAAGGTGGAATAGCTTGGATTGCTTTCCAAGGTGATGCCCTTGTAGTTCTGGCCAAAAAATGAAGGTGGAGATAGCAAAGAGGGCTAGAAATTGGTCTTTCAAAGGAGAATCCCCAACCTAAACATGTTCCCAAAACTTAATGGGATTACCTGAGTGCAAGTCATACCTGATCCAAGGAGAAAATAAAGGTGGAATAGCTTGGATTTCTTTCCAAGGTGATGCCCTTGTAGTCCTAGCCAAAATCCCAGAGTCCCATCCATTCTCCGCAAGCCCGTGAATACTACATATTATCTTAGCCCACAGTTTTTCTTTTTTTTTTGATAATTGAAATGATTTTATAAAACAGTTTTTCTTAGCCCACAGTTTTTCCTTTTCCAATGAAAATCTCCACAGCCATTTCCCTAGTAGAGGCAAGTTTCTCTTCCTTACATTCCCAATGCCTAGACCTCCATCCTACTTACATGCTTGAAAATGTTTTATATGTTTGATTTTATTTTTAAATTTTCATTTGAATACGCTTTACATGTTATGTTTATGTATTTTAATTTTAGATAATAGGTTTTTTAAAACATTAGTTTTAAAATTTAAGTTTATATTTTTTATTAATATTATGTATAATATATTTTTTTTATTTTTAGCATTTTTTTGAATTTTCTGATTTTTTATTTTATTTTTAGCATTTTTTTGTATTTTTGCGCCTTGCTTCAAAAAGGTGCATACCTCACCTTGCACCTCGGGCACAAATTGGCCCTTGCACCTTGCGCTTTTAAAACACTGACTAAACCAAATCAGGCAGTATTATGTTCAATGTGCAGGTATATACTCCCTTGGTACTGATTCCTTTATCTCTATTTATTAAGATTACAAGGTGACCTTGTCACATATGTCCTTTTCTTCCTTTCTCTTATATTGGTTTTGTTTTTGTTCCCAGCACCATTGGCTAGTTAATACACCGTCTCTCCTCACACATTTCACAAGTCACCTAGTTACTACAAGGTCTAGGTGTGGTCTAGTTACATATGATTGCTTACATGTTTTATATGCATGATGTTCTTGCCAGAAAGTGATACTTGTTTACTGGGAATAAGTTGAATAGCGTACTTTGTTCATGCAGTTAATATTTCCTGCCCATCCATATTTGTTTATACATAAGCTCACTTTATCTATTTTATTTTTTGGTACTGCTGCTGCAAAACTGAATGGGTTTAGGATTTAAAATATTCCTCGTAATGACTTTTTTTTCTTGACTGCAGGCTGCCGGAAATGAAGCATTTCAATCAGGAAGGCATTCAGAAGCAGTTGAACATTATACTGCTGCTTTATCATGCAATGTTGAATCACGTCCTTTTGCCGCAATCTGTATTTGCAATCGAGCAGCGGCATACCAAGCTCTGGGCCAAATTACTGATGCTATTGCAGATTGCAGTGTAGCAATAGCTCTTGATGGGAATTACCCAAAGGTTAGGATAGTATATTCCATGTAGCACTTGTATGCAATGGTTCTAGAAGATCTTTGAAATGGTTTACTTATGTTCAATGTGTCAGGAAATATTTTAGCTGTATCTTTTTAAAGAAAAATAAAAAACTAGAAAAAAAGAAACATTATAATTTCACTGTCATAGAAAAAGATTAGGAATACTTACTATAGTCACTTGTGTTGGTTTGTCGAAAGGATATTGTCTAAGAAGAATCAATTGTAAGATTATCTGCCAAGCCATCTATCAAAGAAAAAGCAAAAAAAAAAAAAAAGTGCCAAGCCCAAAGCTAAGTAGACTAATCCTGAGAACTCCTTAACTGAGACAGTGATCATGGATATGTGCATCAAACTCATGTTAAAATGAAGTACAGCATCTGAATCTTGATGGTTGCAACTTGGATAAGAAAGGAATCTCTAAGGTTGGGGAGTATTCAGAAATAGTGAAGGAAATATATACTCTCCCTGTTTTCTGGTCCCATAGGGGAAGGCGATTCAACGAGAGTAGAATTGATCTGTAACTCCTTTTCATTTTAATAAAATTTCTTTTTCTTTATCCTTCAGAAAAAAAGGTAGATTTGAAAACTGTACTACAGGGGCTTGAGATGGGCAAAACACAAAATTACCGAACTGTAGGAACCTCATCATTGAAGGTGAATTCATGTGTCATTACAGCATGGCTAGAGAAAAATCAGGAGGGATCTTTGGATGTATGGACATGCTTTTTGGCAGATTCAACAACTGGTGAAGGAGATGAGAGTATGTATCAAATGGGTGTCTTGGTCTGCAAAGAATTTTGCAGATGGTCTGGCCATACAATGGGCAACAAGGAATCAGATGTTTTGGCGTCTAATACCCAAAGGAGGGAATTGTAATTGAGACTATATAGGTGATTATCCATGGCTAACCATATTAAAGGTAATGAGTATTGTACAGACGTGCAGTTTTTCACAGTTTCTCATCAGAAAGGAAATGAAGTATGCTGCCTTCTTAGCTCATACATACCCCCATGCTACAAAAATCATGTGGAAATGGAGCTAAAGCTAAACAAATATGCTCTTCCCATTTTTGAATTTGCAGATCTGCTATGGTGCATTATGCTTATTGAGGAAGGGGTATACTGCTGCACCTTGAAAAAGTTTCAGGAAGGAGAAGAAATTTAGAGAGAGAGGGAGGGAAACCAATTTCATTCAAACTTCATTCAATCACTAACTTCCAATGAAAGAGAATACAGCCATTTAAAGAAAGAGGTGTAAGTTGTAACTATTAAATATTATGAGAGAGGTCTCATCTCATGCCTCATGCTTGTACTGCTTACAAGAAATTAATAAAGTTCATTTTACTTATTAAATATCTATTTCAAGAAAGAGAAGTAACACTGATCTTACTCAATCCGTAGAACAACCCTGATCCTACTCGCCATTTAATCTACCTTCTAAAAGATAAATAAAATACAAAATATCCTGTAGCACCTTCTTTGAGCATTCTCTTTCTCTTCTTCCTCTCTGGTTCCAAGACTTGTTCAAGCATGGGGTGGGCTAAGAGGTCAGTCAACTAGCTTCAAGTGAGGGACTTGACACCAAAAGAGAAGGTCTAGGACTTATGAGATGGTTGGCTAGGCTTGGGATTCTGGGGTGGGCACACATCAAAGCCTTCTTTTTTTGTGTGGTTACCCTATATATCCTGTCTGTAATATAGAGCTACCATCCAATGTTTTCTAAATATGTATCATGGTTGAGGGTTAATCTTAGCAAAAGCAGGTGGTGTTTCTCAATTTTAAGAATGAATAGTTGGAGGGTTAAGCCAATTTCCTAGGTTCTGAAGTGGGTTACTTTTTGAAGTGTTTGCGTTTGCTGGGCTGTGTGTAGATCCCCTACTTCCATGATTTGTTTGTGGAGACAATGAAAATGATTTTACTCTTAGCAAAAGTAGAAATTTCCTTGGGAAGTAATCAAATCCACATTTCATCTTAATTATTTACGATATAATGTTGTTTAACCATTGATCCAAGTCATTAGTGTTGGAATTTTATGTCTTATGCATGCAGCCTTGCAGAATTTTTTTTAGTTAATGACATTTCTTTATTGTTCATATTATATGCTCTTTATTTGCATTACTATTTTTCTGATCAATAACCATCAGTTTTGTTAAAATTACATAACAATAAAGTGTACATATATACATCTTCCCTTTTGAGAGATAACCTATTATCTCTCCCCTTTCAATTTTTACAATTGTGCCCAAAATTTTTGTTCTCTCCCCACCCCTTGCTTTGCTAAAGTATAAGCCATGCAGTTAGCTTCCCTTTGCACCCTTTATTTTACTTCCGTATCTCTTGTAAGTCCATAGAGTTGCTTCTCTATCTTGTCTTAGCAAAGCTTTCATTACAACCATAATCTCAGCCCTTAGTGAGTTTCCTGGATTCCCCATATTTCTCTTATAAAAGTTGAGTTTCATGAATCCCTTTGCTGGTGGCATCCAACTTCTACACACTATGCTCTTTTTTGAGGATGGGCCTACAAATTCTCTCCATTTACTCAATGATCCTATTAGAGACACTTTTAATTACTGCTTCCTTATTCCTGTCCTTTTCCATGAAAATTCTTGCATTCCTTTGTACCCAAATTGTCCAAATGATAGCTGCCTTGGTGTATCTCCACATTATCCTTCCCCTTTTCTTTGGCCACATAAAAGTTGTAGGATAAAAGAGGCTTGGTGTGCTTGATGAAGGAACCTACCCACACCTAAATAAAGAGAAAAACCAATCCCAAATACAAGTAACAAATGGATAGGAGATTAATAAGTGATAGCAGGTGCCACCATTAGCTTTGCAAAGGACACACCAATGAGGAGATAAGCATTGATCAGGTCTACTATTTTGAGCAAATCGCAAGTATAAATTTTTCTCACAGAAAAACCTCTCAGATGAGAGCTCCAATTCTAGGTGGGATAGGTCTACACCAAACCTCTTTTGCAGGAAAAGTTTGTAGGGGAAGGGGAGATTGGGTTACAACCTTAAAGAAAGAATCACGAGAGAAAGAAGCCAAGGAGATGGAGTCCAAATTTGACCATTAGACTTAGAAGGGTCCAACAATACTTCATCAAGGATTTGTAGGAGGTTGAGTACACTAGGGAGTTTAGAGTCCCTAAAACCCCTTCTGAAACCCAAATCCCAATCTTGAGGAGGTAGGGAGACTAAACTTAGTCATAGTTTCCCCTTCGTAGGTAGAAATAGCAAAAAATAAATGACAATTGATCTTTTAAGGGAGATTGTTTTCTCCATACATAGAGAAGGAGAATGAAATGAATTGCTTTCCATGGAGAACCCTTTATTTATACATGTATTTGAGCAAACATCACATTCCTAATTTCTGTTGTACTTCTGCAGGCAATTTCTAGAAGAGCTACCTTACATGAGATGATAAGAGATTATGGACAAGCAGCTAGTGATCTTGAGAGACTTATATCTATTCTTGAAAAGCAACCAGATGATGGAGCCAATCAATCTGGAACTAGGTCATCTAGCAGTGTCAATGATTTAAGACAAGCTCGCCTTCGACTTTCCACAATGGAAGAAGAAGCCAAAAAAGGAATACCCTTGGATATGTATCTCATCTTGTAAGTTATTCTCGCCAAACTGCAAATTATATGATCTACAGTTAATTTTTCAACTTTGTGCCCACAAATCCCCCCGCCCTGGTGCCCCATACAAAAAAAAAAAAGAATGGAAAAGAAAAAATTGGCTTGGGGTTGTCCAAGACTCTCATATGGATCCCCCATACAAAATATAGGAAGCCATTAACTTGTTAGGAGAAAAAGAAAACCCTAAAATATAATATGCAACTCAATTCACCAATCTAGGAAACCAATGAATACTGGGTTTGCTCTTCTCTGTATGCTGTGAATCTTGCTTCTCTTATCTGGTAGCATAGTCTCCAAATATGGATGCCAATGCTAGATTCTTTTATAATGGAATCTAGTTAGGAAATGCTCCAAGGGACATTGCTTGGTATAATGGTAAAATCTTGGGCAGACATGCTTGAGTCTGAGGGCAGCCACTTTGTGCAAAAAAAATGCCAAGGGTTAGGACTGTACCCACTGCCCAGTCTACCTCTCCTAAGACCCCAGATGGCTGGGTTGGGTAATGCTCTAATCTGACCCAATTCTTTGATAAATGGTAGAGAATATTATATTTCTATATTGGAAAAGAAGGGAGAGCCCCATATTACTACACATCATCATCATCATCATCATTTAAGCCTTGTCCCAACTATATGGTATCCACTACGTGAATCCCATTCTGCCATTCTGTTCTGTTTGGTGCTATTACCCATTGTTATCATACACCAGTACATCTAGTACAGTTAATATAAAAGAGACAATATATTAGTTTGATGGTATTGGGGGAATTTTCAGAAATTAGGAAGGGAATGCCTTGGCCCTTTTCTCTGGCCCGATTGGTGAGGGTGACTCTCTTAGGGCTAAGATTTTAGCACCCTTGGAAGGGATTCAAAGGGCAAGAGAACTGAATATTAGGAGACTGATTATTGAAGGTGATTCGGAGGTAGTGGTAAATTGGTTAAAGGAAGATAAGATTGGAATGTGGAAATACAGCAATGAGAGGAAAAAGTTCAACTGGTTGGCAAGGGATGTTGAGATAAAGTACAGCTGGGTTAAAAGAACTGCAAATTCCCTCGCTGATTGGCTAGCTAAGCAAGGGGTGAATAGGGATTCTTTGTTTTGGTCTTATTTCTAACTCTGTACTTTTTCTTTTCTTTGTTTTGGGGGAGTTAAGATAGTTCACCTCCCCCTGCTTTTCTCTAACTAATTCTTAGTTGAATTCAATAAAGATTTCTGTTATATATATATATATATATATATATATATATATTAGCTTGATGGGATGCCTCTAAACATCAATGTAAGGACCTTTTATAAAGAACAGTGTTATTGTCTTTTGGGATTTTCAAAATGATTTAATCATCTAGTTCGAATTATCCAATCAGATTATTTCTTGATCTTGAAAAACTTGAAGATGAAGTGGAAACTTTGTCACGAACCATTGTGCCCTGACCCAAACTGAGGGCGCTGATGCTGATCACCAATTATTTGAGGAGGTAGTGATTGGAAAGATAGGTATGGATTTGAGCAGGAGGGGGGCTAAGAATGATTTAGATGTGGTTGAAACAGCAACTTTCAAAAAATCTCGTGGAGGTACTGGAATAAGATATTCACATACTGTTCACGTCACCAAAGTTTTTTCTAGGTTAAACTTGGGTAGGTAGGGGCTGGTCTTACAAAGAACTACAAGAGGGTGTATAAGATAAGGGGCAGTAAGACTACTATGCCGACAAGCAAAGTTGCTGATGATGAGGAGTCTTGGGTTGTATCTAACCTGGGTATTCAGCTGGAGACTCGTCAGCATGAAGAAGTAATAGATAGCGGATCTGTTTCTACTGCAAGAGATCTTGATGAGAGACTTGAAAAGGTGGAGAAATCTGGAAGTATTTCTTTTGAGAAAGCTGCTAAAAAAGATGTAGATTGGCAAAAGCCTTGTCCTGTTCTTCTGGGGCGGTGAGGAATTTACCAGGAAACCCTTTGAAGAGTTTGAGAGGAGGAAGAGGGAAGAAGGCTCGAAGAAAGATGTAATTGGAGGTGTGGGATGAAGATGATGATGGGCAGGGGGAGGTGTTTGAAGGGAAAGATTAGGGGCCCATTTCCACTAGGCTTGTTTTGCTTGCGTTGTAGGTTCTGTAAATCTGTCTGAAGATCTGGTCGTGGATGTGTTAGATTTCTATTTTGTTAGAGTTTTGTAGTTTGCTTATGTTTTGTGAAAGTTGTCTCAGTTCGTCTTTTCTTCTCTCCCGTGATATATTATCACCTTCCTGTTGTATTCTCTTTTTTATTTATAATGGAGTTGTTATTTACTTTTTTTCTTGAAGATGAAGCCTTGAAATTTAATATTATAGAATAGTAAAAGCAGGGACGTGGAAGGTATTTGATTGTTCAGGTTTAAATCCAAAGCTAATTCGATTAAGACTAATATGGATCTGAAATATCTGACATTTTATTTTTATGATAGGATCAAATCTGGATCCACCAAAATCCAAATCCCATTAAAGATACAATCTGACAACACTACTGATTACTGAATGCTTCTATAAAAGTGGTGCATATTTCTTAGCAGAGTTGGTTACTTGGTGTAATTACTTTATATTGTACTCATGGGTTGTAGTTTCAGTCTGACATCATGGATGACATTCCAGGTTTGAAGTATTATCTTATTTTATTATTTTATTTAATAGTATATCTAAGTTACAAATATAAATGTGCTTTTTTACATTGATGCTCTTTTTTTTTTTTTGTCATTAGAATATGATTGATTGGAAATGGGTGATGATTGACTGTTAATGAAAATCTAGCATAGTTTAAACTTAACAACAACAACTAATAAGTAGCTAGATAAATTGAACAAGACCCCCCCCCCCCTTTTAACTAGTGATATGCATCTTCGTTCTTCTTAATATAAAAGATTTTTATTAAAAATAAAGAAAAATGAGATCCTCCTTCATCTTCTCCCTCCTTCCTCCTCATCCCCCCCCCCCTCCTCTTAAGTAGGCTTATGCATCTTTGTGTTCAGGAGGCTTATGCCTCTTGCGTTCTGAACTATGCCTCACGCCTCTAGGTAGTGGAATGCCTTGCGTCATGCCTCCGTGTTTTAAAACATTGAGCACGACAATTTGGAATCACTTTTTGAAGGCCCTGAACCTGAGCTGGTGCATGCCCATCACAGTGAAAGCTCTGTTGGAGGAATGGAACATATCTGGGTTGACGAAGAAAGGGAAAGTGTGCTGGTCCTCCATTCTGTTGACTATTCTGTGGGCTGTTTGGAAAGAAACGAACAATAGGATTTTTTACCACAGCTTCTTCTGAAGCCAAGGTCATCAATTTGGCATTAGGGGCTATTAGAAGTTGGCAGCTTCTTGTATAGCTTCTCATTGTACAAAGGACCTTTTTTTGCTTTAATACAATTATACTTTTCTCAGAAATGGACTAAAAGTACAAAACAAGGAGAAAAGCCTACACTTGATTGTCAGGTTTCTATTATTCAATAACATCTCAATGCATGCCAAAGAATTTCAGAGAAAAACAACATGCAATGCACTGAAAGGTCAAAATCGGTTGGAAATTGTTATATTTATGTATCATGTCAATCTCCAAAAAACATTGAAAAAATCCATAGGAAATCTGTGAACTTCAAGAATTATGATTTTGATGGATTCTTTTAAATGCTTGACACTGTTGATACCATATTTTTCTTTCTGTTTCTCCATTCACTACTGTCCTCCAGGAATGGGGCTTTTTTCTTGATTCCCCCCCCCCTCTTTTTTTGCGTTTTACTGAATAAATATTATTTCAAGCTTCTAATGTAATTTTATCTTAAATCTTAATTTAGAGGGATTGAACCATCAAGCACAGCATCGGATATCAAGAAGGCCTATCGTAAAGCTGCCCTTAGGCATCATCCAGATAAGGTCTTTAGCCTCATATCTGCTATTAAAATTTCACTTTTGATTTTCAATTCTCTATGGTCTATGCTTGTTCCTAACATGTGTTTGTGGTGGAATATAGGCTGGTCAATTCTTGGTAAGAAGTGATAATGGAGATGATGGGTTGTGGAAAGAAATTTGTGCAGAGATCCACAAGGATGCTGACAGGCTCTTCAAAATGATTGGAGAAGCATATGCCATACTTTCAGACCCTGCCAAGGTTTACAAATCACATGCATCTAATTTGCATGTGGATTATGCATAATTGTGTTCCTAATCTTCGCATGGCTCTTTAAATTTCTGAAATTACTTTCATTGCCCGTCGAACCACTCATGCTGATATAGAGTAGCCATACTATTAAAATCCTTTGATCCCTTGCATCATGAAAGTAGAAATTTTGTACACGCACTCCCATAACAAGACACTGAACTTAATTTAGGCCAAGCAAGGTGCAACTTGGGTTTAGTTGAGCGTTTGTTAATTCTGAATGGGCCTAAGCCCAAAATTGAGGCTGATGTAGTTGGGATTCAACTTTGGCAACCCGACTTTGCACCCCTACCAGTCAACAACTCGATTACTTATCATTCCTTTCTATTTCGTTTCTTTCATATGGCTTGATTGGTTTTGATCTAGTAGTTTCCATTTGCAGCGCTCACGCTATGATCTTGAAGAGGACGTGAGGAATGCCCAGAAGAAAGGCAATGGAAGCAGCATCCCAAGGGCACAATCAGATGCCTTTAACTATCCATTTGACAGAAACAGCAGCAGGCGGCAATGGCGGGATGTGTGGAGGTCATCTGGGAACTCTCATACTCGTTGGTCAGAGGCATCTCGTTCAAACAGGTATTCTTGAATGGAATTGTGCGGCTTCAGGTCAGGTTATCAACATGGTCCAGGGCAATTAAGATAACCTTGTTATACAGCTCCATTATACATTGCTTTCCATTCCAAGAGTTGCAGAATATAGGCAACGTCTTGGGTCATTCCATAAAAAGAATGAAGAGCTTTGGCCCTTGGGTGGAAGTTGCAGATATTGAAGAGCTAGAGAAAGAACGAAAAAAAAAACCTCGTGGGAGGAAGAAAACAATACAGAAAAGGTTTTGACTCTGCTATCTTACATTGGCCATTTGTACAGCATACAAAGCTAAATGGCCTCAGTTGTTTCCAAGTTTTGGCTGATGCTGGTGAGGTGAAAGATGGGAGAAATGGGTTTTTGATGTACTTGGTGGGCTAAAGGGTCCACAAGTGCAGATTTTTTTTTTTTTTTTTGCCTATTGTTTGTGATGCTGTGGAAAAGTTGCGTGGGTGCGAATTGCATTTCTTGCTTATCAAGAAAGGTTCTGTCATGAAGTGTTTGGTTTGTACGTCGATTGGATGTAATTTGCTGGCACTGGAAATTGATGAAAAAGAGGAATCTAGACTAGACAACAGGCGGAATGGCAGCATCTGATTACTCTAGAGATTCTGAAAGTCAGTTTTGTTTGAATATGAAAATTAGTGATTAAATTATTTTTAATGAGTATAGCCTTTTTTGTTGGCTAATGTCTTATTGAGCAGTCACGGCCTTAACATCGGTAGCTGCCTCTCAGTCATCATTGGATTAATGTAGATTTTATCTCGTTTGATTTACTGATCTTTCCGTCTGGGATCTTTACCGATCTTTTCTTTCCTTCTTTTCATCTGGATCAATGACCATCCATATGATATTTCCGAGTTTACATTCTGTGAACCCACGGGTTCACGGGAAGCATGAACCCACCAATATGCGTTGAACACGTCACCAGTAATGGCTTAACAGGCAAGTTAACGGGAATTAACGGAGTTATCCTGTTAATATCCGTTTCATCGGTTGGGCCAGGCATTAAAAGAAAAAAAAGGAACTCACGAAAATCCTCTTAACAAGAGATCACCGATGACTGATGATTGATGAAGTTATTCCAGCAAAAGAACCAACAGGCGGCCGGCAGCAGCAACATTCACTTGGTAAATTTTCGTTTCCAGTGGCCAGCGGGAACAGAAAATCAGACACTACTGCTAGAGCTGGTTTCATTATCTACTTTTCCCAACTTGATTAGGAAACTAATGGTGCTGATTTGAAGCTTTAGGAGAGGAAGGAGGTAGAGTACCTCTGGCTCTGGAATCATTCAAAAATAAAAGAAAAAAATAATAATCATAAGAGCTCAGTTTATAGGGAAAGAAGAGGTAGGAGGAACAGTGGCCGATCTAATACGATGGTCGACGGTGGAGGGCATTACTGGGGGCAAGGGGATCTGTCGTTGAAGTTGCAACGGTGGTAACGTTGCTGGAGGAAACAGGGGATGGCAGGAAGAGAAAGAAAGAGGGAAAAATGAGGGAGAATGATTTTTCATGTAGATAACGTGTTTAATAACAAGTACGTTAGGAGCAGGATAAAGGGAAATCCGTTAGAAGCAGGATAATGAGGGAGAGAATGATTTTTCACGCAAACAGTACGTTATGCATTGCGTAGACTTGGTTTTTTGTTTTGGATAAAGGGAAATCTGGAAACGCGCATTAATAAGAGATGATTTTTCATGTAGATAATATTTTACGGCAGGTTCCAGTTTGAACTCGAGCATCTTTCATGGAGGAATTCGGAATTAGGAGCAGGATGAAATCATTTTATTTTCTCAGAAAAAAAAAATATATATCTTCCCTTTCTAATTCTACATGAGACTGGTAATTGCCATGTGATACGATGTATCACCATCCAAGTACGTCTCCATATCGGTTTGTCTCAACTTGAAAACTGGTGAATACTACATGTTTTGTTTAATAAGGTCATTGGTTGAAGAAAGGCTCTTGTATTCGGATAAAATAAAAACGAAATATGGCAATGGTAAAATGAAGATGGGAAACATTACGGGGCTCAAAGTCTCAAATATTCTGCGTATGTGTCTACAGAGCTTAATCAAATGGATGTTAACTATAAAAATTTCTTCTACCAATAAAAGGAATACATTTCGGTTGACAAAAATTTCTACTAGCACACTCAACCGACAACGGCCAAAGAAAAAATTGCCTAAAATGGAAAGGGATAACTTTCAAGCAACAGCACCACCCCGACTCCTTATCGAGCCCGAGTCTGCAGCTTCAAGAACCTGATTTGCCAATTTGTATGTACGCATCGAGAGTGACTTGGTGTTCTCTATGATTTGTTCGTACCTGAAGAGAAAACAAGATTTGTAGTAAGAGAAGTTGGTTCTGAGAGAACAATCTATAGAATGAAGCTCAGTAACATTACTTTGTTTTAAAATCATTGTTAACTTACACATTGAGATGGTTGGGTTCCATGACAACAGTCCCAGATTTGGAATCAATCTTAGCATCGAGCTTTGCATTCCGTACAAGATTCACAATCCATCTCTCAGCTTCATCATAATTCAAATTCAACTTCTCAGCAAGCATCCTAAAAAATCCAAAACAAAAGAAATTAAATCAAACTTTAATTCCAATTTCAAGCAACGAGTGGCTAAATAGTGTGAGGGAGAGAGAGAGAGAGAGAGAGAGAATAGGACACAAAACTGTTAAAGACACCATGGGAAAAAGAAACATACAACAGGGCAGCCTAATTCTAAATCCATTAATTTACAAAGCATTCAGCCAATCTTCCAGGACTGCTTTTGGATATAAACAGAAAACCATCTTAGCTAAATTGTAAACAACAAAAAGAAAAAACTCCATTGCAGTATTGCACAATAGGATACTTTTTCATGAACATCTCACAGGTAGTACATGGAAAAATTGAAGGGTAGGACGTATAACCCATAAAGATTTTCTTTTTTTTAATCTGTGGGATGTATAAACTTAAAACGTCAATTTTGAAAGGCATTTTCAAGTAATTTCAGATATAGTCAAGACAGCTGCATAATGGCTTGGGAGTTGACACACCAGTTGGTGAGTGGTTAATGTAATGCATCACATACAAATAAGGAAAAAAATGGTGTATAAACCAAGGCATTCCCTCTCTCTCTCTTCTTTTTTTTCTTTTACTTATCTAGCACAATGTTTTTGAACCATCGTTGACCCAGACGGTCAGACCGTTTAGCCTGGAACCCGTCCAAGCAACCGGTTCCATTTCACCCCTAACCCGTTCTTGGGTCAAAAACCATTGACTTTGTCAGAAAACCGCTGACCCAGATGGTCAAACCATCGACTCGTTTGACCCGGACAGCGGTTCTGACCCAGGAACTCTCTTCGTCAGAAAACATACAAACTCAGATTTGAGGAAGAAGAAGAAGAGAGAGAAGAAGAAGAAGAAGATCTGAGAACTCAGATCCGTGTATGTTGCCGCCGCCTCGCCGTTGCCATTATCGTCGCCGGTGAGCATCGAACTACCCTCCTCTTCCTTCTTCCCTCCTTCTTCCTTCCTTCCTTTCCTTTCTCTTCTTTTCTTTTTTCCTTTCTCCTTTCTTTCTTTCTTCTTTCTTTTTTTCTTTCTCAGCCGACAACATCTCCTCTCCTTTCTCAAATCTCATAACTCATATAAAATAGTTGCCCTAATATGCAAACCGTCTGAACCATTCGACCCGGACAGTCAAACCGCTGACCTGGAAACCGGTAGGTAGAACGGTTCCATTTCCGGGTCGGTTTTTAAAACCTTGATCTAGCATTAGATATAATGGCTCTGGGTTACATGCTGGACCACAAAAGCCATGCCAAAAAGCTGAGCAAGGCTGAGCAAGGAAGAATCTATCTATAGAGACAATTTGTCAATGCTAATGTGATAGCTTGGAGATTCCAAGTCAAATCAACAGTGCATGGGAGAAAATATGAAATGCTAGGACAATTAAGAGGAAATGTAGCAGTGGACTACCAGAGCAAAGTGAAGGCAAATATAATTTTTAATATATATATTCTTTAAAAAGACTCGAGATAAAGAGACAGTACGAATAAGCAGTCAATCAGGAAAAGATGAAAATATAGTACAGACCATGACTGAGGCAAATGGGTAACTTGAACTCAAGTTTAAATGTTTACCAATCAGAAAGAAAAAAGTCAACATGTTATTCATCAATACACGAATCTAGCAATATCAGCCTAGCCAAAAAAACTAGTAATGTCATATCATAACAAAAAAAAACTCTACATGTTATTGTTTATTAATTGATACACTAAACTAGTAATATTATAAGCCACATAGGTCACAATTACATCTGGAAGTTTAAATTGAATTAAGTATTTTCTGCTCCTAATTCAGAAATAAAGGAGAATAATTCAAATTGGAACATGCCCAGAAGCATTCCTAAAGTAAATGTCAAATACAGGAACTGCAGTATAATCACCACCAATATTATCAACCGGAAAAAAACAGGACAAAAAGAAAAAGCAAAAAACAAAACGAAATAAAGGGTCCACGCATACACACACACACACACACCAAAGGGCCATTACTTAGTATAATGGTAAAACCCCGGGCTAACAAGCATGAGAATGCAGGTTAGGCCTGAGAGAAACCACTTTGTACACCAAAAAAGACCCAAGGTAAGGGTAAGGTCTGTATTCAGTCCATCGGTTCCAACACCAGATAGCCAGGATACAAAGGGTTAAAATTAAAAGCAACAGCTACTCACAATAAAAGTTAAATGGAAATGGTTCAGGAGTCAAGAAGCTCATACGCACCCCATATCAATGCACTGATGTATTCTGCAATATGTCTCAAAGATAAACAAGCGTGCATTTTCAAGGAACTCATCCCTCAATGGGACTGTAGAGAAGTTTCCTTCTTCAACTCGTTTTCCGAGGAAGGGATCATTCAATATCACCTGTATAAGAGTTTTCAACTTCTTAGCTTAACATACACTTTCAGGAAGTATGCATCCGGAAATCCAATAGGCAGCAGATGAGCAGATGTTGAGAAAATGAGAAATTGACACAAACATTACAGCACTTCCCAATCTCCCCCACCCCACCTCCATCCCCCAATAAAAAGAACCCAAGTGTTGACTGCAATGGCTTCTTACAAATAACTTCTAGAAATGAGCAGTAAGTCTCCAAATTAGAAAATCAGTATAAAACCATAAAGCACTAGAAACTTTGATGCACTGTGGATCATTCTAGTTCAAGACTTCAAGTTGGAACTAGAATGTACAGATGTCCAATAAGCTAATGCATGTGGATTTTTGGCTTACAGCAGTCTTAGTTTTAGGACATTGCAAGTTCATTATTGCACTTCTCTTTTACTAATTATCTTTTTACCAGATAACAATACCAATAACAAATGCAAGTAAATTGTCATACAGCGGCCTTAGTCTTAGGATATTAACATTTTGTTTTCTAATGTATGATATGTCCATAACTCCATATACACCAATATCCATGTAGTGCAGCATATATTGACTTATAAACAAATACATAGTTTAATTTGTGTACAAGATTTGTATATGCCCAAACCCAAATCTATGTAATGCAACATATTATTGATTTACCATCAAATAGCAAAAAGCAAGACAGTTTAAGGCCAGACAACTCACATCCTCACACTCTCGTAACTTCTTTTGAGCACCATCAAAATCATAGTGCACATACAAACATTCTAAAAATTCTGTGATGGGATCTTTGTAAGAATACTGCTCTTGCTGGATGACTTTGATAAATTCTTTCAGCTGAGGTCGCCTTCTTTTGTTAACAATAAAGGCAGTGGCCAAATAACGTAAAAGATGAGGGGCATTTGTCTGAATGGCATTTATGTACCTGTAGAAAGAAACCTAACTTTAATACAATGCTGAACTTAACTAAAGTGCAACAATAACATTAACTGCATAGGATAGCATTTTTTGGTAATAAAAGAAGAAAAATTTTATTAAAATGGAAAAAGAATGTACAAACAAAGGTAACAACTAGTCACCCAAAAGAAGAAGCAATGGCCTAACTCCCAAAACCCAGACCCAAAATCTTAAAAAAAAAAGCAACCACAAACAAACACAAAAACATTCACCCCCACTTCACACACAAACAGCATTCTTCAATGACAAAAAAAAAGACTCGACTCTCCACGAACTTAAAAAGGAAACTCTTTGCTTCTGCTAACTTTCTTTGATTTCTTCACCTTAGTAGGTCCAATTCAAAACGAACCCCCTTCCAATCTTATAAACACTTTTAATTAATACTTAGATTGTTTGAGAAAACTTCTAGCTATTAAATCTTTTAGCCGCATTAGACCTCTTCTTCTAAGCTTCAAAGATCTTTGACCATCTTTCCAACTCCAACACCACATTTCTCTCAAAAAAAATTGGTCCTGCACCATTGCTGGTTTGTAACAATAGCCATTTTTATGTCCTTTCCATTTCACTTTTCATTAAATGCTTTGTCGCTTGGAACTTGCAAGAACGCCCCTTGATTCTTGAAATCATCATAATGATGATTCAAGAATCACCCCTCTTGCATGAGATCCAAGGCAACTATTGCATGCTTATTTTGAGGGAGTGTCAGAAAACACAAAATTTTGCCTATTTCCTAACACTGGTGTGGCAAATACATATAATGGAAATGTCATGAAGTCAAATATTAGAAGCCATGCCAAAAACCAGTTAAGTTCAGAATTGTAGATGATATTTTCATTGAAGTATCATAAAAGAAAGTCATGGATGATTAAGGGTGTAGAGAAAACCTTTAGGAGAAAAAAAACAAGGAACTACAATTAACCTACCAGTCCTACCCTTACCAACACAAAAGTTCCCCTCATTCATCAAAAAAAACACAAAAGTTCCCTCCCACATGCTCATACTCTGGCTTAAAAGTTTGCAGGCTTAAAGGTGTATAACACATACACTGCTTCAAGACCCCAAGCCTTCTATAGATCAATCTGCAAAAGCATTGCTTCAACAAGCTCAATTTTCGAGGAGAATAGTGTCGACAGAAGATAGCTAGCATGAACTTAATATAAACTCCTTCCTCGGAAATTCTCAATCTCTTGATGGACAATTTAGCATTTTCCATTCCTATAAATGTCTCTCTGTAGTCTGTAGTCTGTAACTCTTTTCCAATTTATGAAAATCCATTCAACTTTGCATTGCAATCTTAATTTGCTTAGAGAAAAGAAACACTTGTTCCAATTAATGAAGAAAAACACTTCTTCTATTCAGCCCCTAACACAGTTCTCTTTGCACAACTGGATCTGCTATATTATATAGTACAAAAATAATTGGTAAAACTCTAATGTCTATAAGCTCTCTGTGCACAAGTTTAGGCAACAAATGCCCTCCTCAGAACAGAATAGGTCCTAAATATGGCTGTGGGATTGCTAATTTCACTGAGCAGGGCGGCCACTTTGCAAATGGTAGCTCCTAATGATTGAATGGGTGCTGCTATTCAGATGGTAGCGACAAATGCAGCAGCACATGTAGGCTACTTTTACTAATAAAAAAGTGTGGCTTTCCTAATGATTGAATGGGTGCTGCTATTCAGATGATAGCAATAACTGCAGCACATGTAGGCTACTTTACCAATCAAAAAAATGCAGGTCTTCTAATGATTGAATGGGTGCTGCTATTCAGATGATAGCAATAMCTGCAGCACATGTACGCCACTTTACTAATAAAAAAAAGGTGGGCTACTTTTACCCCAAACTTCTTGTACAAACTTTTAACTTTCGCTTTGTTTACTGATTAAAAATTTCCACTTATTATTCGCATTGATTATAAACTCCAATCATGATGTAACTTTCACCTATTCTCTATACTGATTGACAGACAAATGGACATATTCTAGAGATTTTTAGAAAATTCCAGATATACTGATTGAACTCTTTTAGGGGACCTGCATGCTTTTTTTCTCATTTTCTTTATGTATCTATTACTTTTTATGACAATGTATTCCCTTAACCAGGCAAACCTAAACCCCAGGTAAACATACATTCTTGGGGGATATTAAACATGGTGAACAATGATTTTGATTACCCATTGTTTTTAATAGTCTTGCTTACTCAATTATTATAAGCATGTAAAAAACTCAAATCTAGCATACCATACTAAAAGCTAGAAGATCCACAGAAAAGTTTACAAAAGGAAGATTATTATGTTAACATTATGTTTCTTAATCTTTTGAAGTTTGAAAAATAAAAAAAGGCTTTGCAAACTGATGGCCTTTCTTTATTTTATTTTATTTTTGGATAGGGTAAGAAAACATCTTTGAACTTGGCATATACAAGAAAAACATCATGGATATTCAGATTTGAAGAAAGCACCTTAGAAGACATAAAAACAAGAATGCAAATGAGAAAGATAGGGTAATATGGTAGACCTGTCATAGAAAAATAGATCAATGAGACCATTTTTGCCACTATCATGGTTGAAAAATATGAAAAGGCTCCAATGCATTAACCATATTCTACTTTGCAACTGATTCAATGGTGATGTAAAATTCTGCAAAAAAAATAGCCAGTAAAGACGATTAAAGAAGGCAATAGGACTGACTTAATCCACTAAAGCAGGAACCAACACTAACCTTTGAGTCAATTATTTCTCTCAATCGATTAAGCTCTTCAAGAGCAATATCCCAGTTTTGCATCAATATCTCTGCTGCTAGCTTTCCCCATAATGCACTCAAACTCCTGTCGGTGTTTGTGCACAAAGCTCGGTACTGATATAGATAGTCAGCGGCACCAGAGTAATTGCCACATTCAAACTGAAATTTGGCATATTGATATAAAGCTTCTATCTGGTCTGGACCAATCTGCTTGTAAAGTTCAGTAAGTAATTAGTAAAAAAGCTACGTGATAAACCTATAAATTATTCAAATAATGTGGTGATATGAAGATGAGAATTATGAAAACAAGTGGCTCCAATGCCAGGGTAAACATTTTTTTTGAAAGGTGCATATTAGGCACCCTGGGTGCAGAGACAAGGCATATTTGAAGACATGCACCTCGATTGAACCCTAGGTTGAAAAGCCACATGCCTGGGCTAAGGTGGAGGCTTGCAGTTACTATTTTATATACTGTTTCCATTAAGGCATATTTCCATTAAAGCCTTTATAAATTTTCCTTTGCAGTTACTATTTTATATACTGTTTTGCGTTTTAATCCTTTGTAATAGTCTATTGACTTCTAAATAACCTTTTATTGCTGTCTGTGCCCTAGTTCCGATCTATTAATTTTTAAAACAAAAATAATGACCTTGAATATCCAAAGAGTAATGCCTTGGTTGTTGCAGATAGGATTCATGCAGCAAAATTTCCACTAGAGAAACAATAAATGCAAATACCCAAAATTTGGATTTGGGGTGCCGCCACCTTTGAACCCATGCTGTTAAGGCCCCAACTTCGACCTCATTGGATTAGGAATGCAAGTGACATCTTGCATTGAAATGATGCAACTAGGAGATAAACAAACACATTTGAGTAATTCACATGGTTGAATCGTATAGTGCTTAAAGCACTTGATATGATCCATATCTGTTTCCTTTCACTTTGAATTTGAATTTTTATATGTCATGCTTATGTATTTTGGACTAAGCTAATAGCTTTTTAAAACATGTAATTTCTTTTAAAATTCCGTTTGCAGATTTTTATGTATTAATGTTATTATTTTTTTATTTTTTATAAAATCTTGTGCCTTGATTTGCCCAGGTGTGTGACTCAGCAACCTTGCGCCTTGAGCACTAGAATGCCCTTGTGCTTTTATAGTGCCTCTCACATTTAAAAAGTAGGGAGGAAAACATCTTAAAAAAGAAGACATATAAGAAGATAAGTCACCTATATAACAGATCAAAAATAACTAAAAGTGCACGTTAAGGTGCCATAAACATTACAAAGAATGGTATAGAAATTTTTCTCAACAACAATATTACTATCAAAAGAAATTGCTCAACAACTATAAATAAGCTAAGGTCGTTCCACAGTTCCACTTCATCTCTACAATGCATGTAATTCAAGGGCAATGCATTTTACTCTTCTTCCTTTTATTCAGGGGTTGTATAACTCAATTGTTGAACTTCCAAACTTAAAAGCATCAACTTGATTTCCTTATCCCACAGAAAAAATGCCCAAATTGCAAATGGTAAAGGTTTTTTTGATAGGTTGCAAATGGTAAAATTTCAAGGCCTACTGTTATTTTTTTTCCCTTCAATAGTGAACATTTGAAACTTAGCTTAAGAATGTTCAAATATTAGTTCCCTTTCCAGCTAGTGATAAAGATCAGAGTAAGACACAGGTCACAGTAGTTCTGGCAACTAAAACTATAATTTCTTTTAAAATCAATGATGCCTCAGTTTTAAAGCAGTGAACTGAAGTAAATAACAAATAAGTCAACCATTTTTTCTATAATTCCTTACATAAGCTAGAAACTTGGCAAATTTAAGCACAAAAGGGGTATGTTGCATGGACCAACAGCCAAGGTCGCAAAATATATTTTAGGCATTATTAATTAGTAATTTTACTAATTAAGACAATTCGAAGTGAGTTAAAAAAAATAAAGTGAAGATAAAAGATTAGACGAACCTGGAATCGATCATTCAGCATCTGGAGATTGTACTGTTTATCATGGCGGAGTTCCTGAACCAAGTTAGGGTTTTGCAGAAACGAAATTAGTGGTGCGGCTTCCGGAGATTTCAATCTCTCAAAAACCTCGACACGCCTATCAACCATATCTGCCAAAACAAAACCCAAATTCAAAACCTTCAAAAATCGGACAAAACAGCAAGCTCAAAGCAGCTGCAACAGCAATAACAACCATGGTAAGAACTCGGTCATGTTCATGGAGAAAACGTCGAACCTTGAGGAACCTCTTCAGTATGGTAGAGGCTCTTGTGAATGTCCATAGCGTAATCGACCATATTAGTCTTGTTAAGAAGCTCGATCTTTGCTTTCAGGATCTCGTCATCAGGGTAAAGCTGACGCTCCTGCAGAAATTCCAACAGAGGGAAGACAAGATGACGGTCGAGGTGAGGGGCGATTATTCGAGTGAGATCATAGTTCGCCATGGCTGCAGCGGCAGAAACCCTAGAGTAAACCTCTCTGTCAGAGAGAGAGAGAGAGTGGAGGAGGGGGCAGAAAAGGAGTGTATAAAACCTAGTAAGGGAAAGGATTACATATCGGATGGTAACCGGCCAACTTCCCTATCATAGTTATTGTGTTGCTCGGCCATGCGAAGGATTGACCAACATCTTTGTTTATTGGTCGTTCGATTAGTGGGACCTATCCATCAATGATCAGGAGCAGCGAATCTCTTTTTTTTTTTTACGCCTTTGAGCCAATCTCAATCTATATAGAAAGATACAATTACAATTTACAGTCAACACGGTAGATTGGTTGCACATAGACCTGTTCATGGGCCGGGCCGGCTCGGGCTCGGGCCGGGCTTTTACTTTGTATTAACAGATTTTTCTAAGGTCCGAGCTCGAGCTCGGCCCGACCATCGGGCCTACAACTTGGGCCCGAGCCCAACCTTCATAAAAAGCTCGAAGCTCGAAGCCCGAGCCTGGGCCCGAGCCCGAAATTTAGCCCATACTGTTACTATTGCTGAAGCGGTTGAATAGATAGAGAGAGAGAGAAATTATAAAGAAAAGAATAAAAAATGTATATATTAAATTATAAATATATATTTTAATAAATATTATATTATTTATATATTTTATATAATATATAAAATACATATTATATATTTTATAAAATATATAATGCTGAGTCAGGTCAGGCCGGGCCGGGTTCGGCTTTTTTTACAAAACACAGTCGGGCTTACTGTGTTAGGCCCGAGGTCAAGCCCGCGGGCCTAATTACATGACCAAGCCCGATTGAGGTGCGGGTCGGGCCATCGGGCTACCCGGCCTATGAACAGGTCTAGCTGTACATCTTTTATATATATATATATTAAAACAAGCCAATAAAGAAGTCTCTAAATTTTTTTATGTTTTTAAATTAAATAAAATTTCTCTCACACGTTTCAATAACCTAAATAATCTAATAATATTAAAATTTCTCCTAAACAACATTTCCCACTATTTTCAACTTTTTCTTAAGTTATCTCTAATTTAGTAAATAGTTTTTCTCTTAAATTATCTCTAATTCTTGTTTATCTTCTCCCCCACTTTTTATCTACATCTATTTAAAGAAAGTTTGAATTAAAAAATTCAAGAATTATTTGAATATTATAACAAAATTATATAATAACTTTAAAATATATATTGAAAAGGCAAAAAAAATATAATTGATTTAATAATATTCATATATTAATAATTATATATTTTTACAAAATTCATCATGTAATTATGTACAAACAAAATAAATTGTGATTTTCTAGATTATTCAATCTAAATGTTATTCAAATAATAAAAATCCAACACTAAAAATGAAATATTATTTAAATATTTCAATAAATAAATATATTAAATAACAAAATATTAAAATTAATATTATTAATCAATTAATAATATAATTTAAATAGTTACTGAATAAATTTGAATTATAATAAATAGATTAAGATTTTAAACATTTAGTTAAATAACTAAATATTTTAAATAACGAAATATTTTTATTTTTTTTATAAAAAACATGTATATATGATGAAAATAGTCGAAAAGATACTTGTAGTTTTTGTTTTTGTTTATTTAAATTATTATATTTTAATTTTATTTTAATAATTTATTACATTTTAAAAAATCAAATCGGATCGAATCATATTCAAAAAATCTGACTTCCACATTGGATTTGAATTTAGGCCCATGTTTTATCATATCCTATCAGATCTTCAGATTGGATTTACAATTAATAGTGTTGGATCAGATTTGGATATACTCCTTATTCAATGGATATATCCACCTGCATCCCTAGTCAATGGGTTGGGTTGAACCTGATGTGCCCAAATCGATTGGGTCAGTTTGGTTTTCAGTTCATGATATATTGTCACAATTCTTATTAGGTCGGAGCCGGTTCCACCTTGTCACGAATTAATTTGGAGTCGGGTCTAAAATTATGGACATTGAATTAGAAATTTGTAAGTCTAATGTGAGCTCAGGCTAGGCTACAGTATGGGCTAAAGCTTGGAGTAAAAATTTGTAGGGCCAGGCCCATACCAAGTGTAAAGACAAAACTTAGGACCAAGACTAGAATTTTTTATTAAGCTAGGCCTTTTCATCCACACCTCTTTAACGTCTCAATTGAAATCGATGGAACAAAAGCAAATTAACATTTTAAAACATTTCCTCTTCTCTCCAAGAATTCAACCACTTCCTCCCATCCCTGCCCCCATTTCCCCAACCTCTTTAATAGTATACACTTGTTAAAATGTCTTAGTTAAATGTATTTTTTAAGATTTTATTAATTATTTTAAAGTTATTATTTGTAATTGTAAATTTATTTATTTTAAAATGTGAGTAATTAATGTAATTTAAGTATTTAATTAAATTAATAATTAATTTATTTACCATAGTTTATTAATTAAGTTAAATTAACGAATTAAATAACACTAAACTAATTTGTTTTATTTACTCAAATAATTAACATTAAATCTGCCTATATGAATAAAATTACTAATGTATTATTGTATTCTACCCTGCACTTTGCTAGTCTATATCTATATAATAAACAGGAAAGAGGAGAGGTGAATTAGTGTATTGTTGTATTAAATCTGCCTATATGAAGGGTCTTGCTCCACAATGCTCACACGAAGGCTTCTCATCTCTTGCTTCTTACACGTGTGGATAATTTTTACTTAAAAACTAAAATATAATAATATCCTTTATTTTTTATATTAACACTTACCGTTTTTAATGTTGTTAAAAACTTAAAATTACATTTCTACCATTAGTGTTAAGTAATTCCGCATCATTAAAGATGGTTGCTTGCTACTTTTGTGATTTCTAACAAATCTTCAACTTGAAGCTCTAGGGATGTCTTTGTAGTCTAATTCCAATCTAATTCTTTGTCATCATACGCCTTGCTCTCTCCCTAAACCCCCAATATCGAGGTACGTATGTATTACATCTTTTTTACATAAAAAAAGCTCAAATGTCAATTCTAAAAACACAACAATTGATCAATCATAGATTGGATGTTATTTTCTCAATTTGTAAAGGAGACTCAAACAAGGTTTCATGTGAAGCTATTCAACCAGATTTTGCTACGGTGTGTGTTGATAGAAAGTTCAGGTTGAGGCAGAGTTACCAACCCATATGACTTCTTTGTTATGTTTTTGTTTGATACTAATGGTAAAAGGGTAAAAGCTACACCCTTCAAGCTAGGGCAAGATTAAGTTCCAGAATACCAACTGTCATTGATGGTACCAACATTATTGGTTCTCTTACTAATGAATTCAAAGAGTTACTTAACTGATATGTTTTCTCTTTCAAAATAATTTTCTTCTTTAATGAATAATGTAGATATTTTAATTTCCGTGGGAAGTTTTAGCTTGATAGGAAGTTTTCCTGAACTTTCTTTGAGTTAAATTGGAGGAAGGTGACAGCAGTGAAAATCAAATGCATAATTCACCGATCGAGCAAGTTAAATTGGAGTAACTTGGATATATAAACCTTGTGGATAAATGAAACTAACATGATTTTGTTGGATGCTTGCTTGCTTCTGCAACCTTCATGTGGTAGTTTATCTAAGTGTCAAGATTACTTATAATTTAATGGTTTTAAACTTTGTTCTTTGTCTTCCCATGGTTTGCTTCCTAAATATTAATTTCAATGGATGTTCAATTGAACTTGAACAATTTTTAATTTTCTTAATTATAAGGTTTCTCATAAATTGCTTAACTTTATTTTACCTTTTCAGTTTTACTTGTCTTGGAAAGAAAATCATCTAGGCTAAAATGGAGGTGGGGGGTTTTTGGTTTAAAGAAGTTACTTTTAGTTGGTAATGCCTAAAGCTTTGGTTTTGCTTCCTGCTTGCTCAATTTTAGGCTTTTAAGATGAACAATGTAAGCTGTTCGTGAAGAAGGTGAACATACAAATTCATGAAAAATCAAATTGAAATCCCCAACTCCAAAATCTTACATATTTCAACCTAGATATGTTAATGCATACATTAATTGAAGAATATAATCCAATCAATTTCTTGACTAATTGGCTATTGCCAACCTTCAACACATGATAGGAACTTAATGCATTGTTCTGTTTTGTACAGTTTGCACATAAATATTTCTCTCTTAATTTAGTTTCTATTGGTATCAACTCTTAATTAAGGGTGAGAGAGAATATCTCCATGTGCTACTAGGGATCGAATCCCACTAGCACAGGATTTGGGGGAGGGCTAGGGGATGGACCAAGATTCAAAGTATCGGAAATGTCAAGTGTACCAAAAATGCAATTTTAAGAGACGTATTGGGATGCACCTTGGATATGCATGTGTATCGGAGAAAAACTAAGATACACATACATACACTTGGAAATACTATAAATATTTTATTAAATCATAAAAATGCATCAATGACACTAAATACACGACCTCAATGAGGTGCATACACATTAAATTAATATATTTTAATAGTTTTATGAAGAAATATATTGTAGTTAATTATAATTTCATTATAAAACATATGCTTAACTATAATTTATAAATTATAATTCTTAAGTTTTAATGTTTTATGGAATGGGAAAACCCAACTCTCCTATCCAACCATAAAACATTCATTGGTACAACTTCTAAGTGAAAATATAATTAATAATTATTTATTATTTATTTCCAAAAATTATAAAAAATAAATAAACATTATATAATATATTCAAAAAATAGTTATTAAAGGAGAAATTTCAATTGCTTTGTGGATGGATATGATTGATGATCTATAGAATTATAATATATTCAATCATTGTGATCAAATGATAAAATATAATTAATTAATTATTTTTAATTCTAAAAATATAAAAAATAAAAAAAAAATATTAAAGAAGAAATTTCAATTGCTCTATGGATATGATAGATAAATCCATAGATCTAAAATATATTTAGTCTTTATAGGCATAGAAAAAATTACATTTTCAAAATTTTTGTTAATTTATATTTTTTCCAAATATCTTCATGAAATTTCCATAAATCTAATGATAACAGAAAAAAATTGTGATTTTGAATGTAAGA